CTGTTTGCATTGCTAAGCTGGGCAGGCTTCCTGCAGATTGCTGGTTATTCTGAGTGCTGCCATTTCAGAGCAGATCTGTATCTTCCTTTAAGTCCTGTATACATTGTTTTCATGGCAGAAGTCAGTACATTTTCAGTTACAAGAACAGGCTGTTCCTGTCACATTCTGCTCCACCAAAGCATGTTATGAAAGTGAGATAGAACCAATTTTACTGCGTGTTGGTCTATGTTCCCATCAGCCACGCCTTCCCATAGCATAAGGGCCTTCTGGAACTGAGACCGTTACCAGTTTTACATGCCTGAGTACTTCAGGCATCACTCTGTTATATTATTTTTCATAGATGGTAATGTACTGCATAGAACAATAAAGTTTGAATTGTGTTCTTGAGCTGCTGGGTAACACTTGAATTCAAGAAAGGAATTTGAGTGCAGATCAGCTCCAGGAGCCCTCTCCTGCTGTATGGCAGACTGCACTCTGTCAGTCAACATCTCAGCAAGAATCTCTCCTCACTCACAGGCTGAACGAGAGCTGTTGAAGAGAAGGAGCAAAGCTGTGAGGCTGCCCATATCCTGCCAGTGCCTCAGATCCTCGACATTAGCTGTGAGCACCAGAACAGCTTTATAAAAAAACAAGCTCTGTATGGCAGCCACCAGACAGGTGACACAGAGCACTTGGTCTTCAGTGGCCTGAATGCTACTTGTGTACAAACTATTTGCCCCTTGTTGTGATAGAATGATTGCATGTGAAAAGAAGTTGGTTTTCTACCTGAGCTTTCCATGCACATATTTGCCTTTGGCTTCCAAGCATGGTTCTGCAGAGCAGCTTTGTTTGCCATTCCTCTCACCACAGGACAGTGAAACACTTCACATCCACAGATCCTCACATCACACAGGACAGATTCTGGTGTTCTATGTAAACAGACAAGGAAATCTCATCACTAGTAAAAGCCCCAGGGCTGTGGACAGAAAGACAAGCAGCTACATCTGCTGGGTTTGCTCTAACAAACTTTGAACAAACCCCGGTGCCTTTGAAGGCTGAAGGCTGATCCTTCCTTAAAGAGATTGCCTTCTTTGCAGAGCTAGAAAACACACATGCGAGATATGAGGCAGCCCCTCAAACATGATCTGCATTTCAGAATATACCCCAATTCATTCCTTGGTGATCTAAGGGAGGATTGCAATATATGTGCTGAAAAGTTTGTCAGAAAAAAGCTGTATAAAAATTGAATCATCTGCTTGTAAACAGCTGTGATAACCTTCCTCTTTGCAGAACTGTTATGAGCAATCTGTGCTGAATTAGGCCCTGGGTCAGACATGCAGAACTGGGATCAAAAACCCAGCTGGCTGAGTGGCAATGCCTGAGCTATCCAGTGAGGAACTCCAGGACCCAGAGAAAGGAGTTTGCCCCAGAGCTCTGCCTTGCACTAGCAGAGCACTGAGATCACAAGGTCTCAAAGGCTTTTATAAATTGTAATGCCCTTGACTCCCTGATGCTCCTGTAAAATAAAGCAGTGTTTTTAACCTTGTTTTGCCAGCAGGACATAGAAGTTATTTTACATAGTGTAACCAATCTGGCTTCTCTTCAGTTTTCAGCACCTGCTCAGAGGTCCTGGCTGGGAACTGAGGGACACGAGCTGCAGCTTGCAGGACTGGTGTGTGTTCAGGGTCTGGAGGGGCTGAGTGCCACAAAATGGCTTGGAAAACTCCTCTGGAAGCCAAGGGATGTAAAAAAGTAATAATGGTGTAACATCAGCCTCAAAGCAGGGAGCTCCTGCAAAACATCAACCGGAGTACTGGGTGCATACCGTACCGCGAACCACTTCGTTGCTTTGTTGTTTTGATGTCTGTCCTGGCGGGCAGGCGGGACTGCAGGTAGGAACGGCGGGTTTGTAAATGAGGAGGGCGTTCATATCGCCGATCAGGGGAAAGATCCGCTCCCGGTTGCGCCGTGTCCCCCCGCAGCCCCGCTCTGCCCTGCCCACACGCGTGCCCTCCCCGAGGTGACAACGCCGAGCGCAGGGGACTGCGAGGAGAGCTGTGCCGGTCGCAGCCCCGCTGTGCGCTGCCCGCTGCTCTGCTTGCTCGCTGCTCCGCCGACACCGCTCTGCCCGCGCCGCGCTCAGCCCCGCCACCCAGCAGCAGCCAGGCGTCCGCTGCCAGGTCGGGAATTGTTTTGCCTTCTCTTCGGGTGGCTTATTACCGTTGTTTCAGCACTGGTGTTCTTCAACTCACCACAGGAACGTCGTGAGTATGACTGCCACTACAGCTTTTTAGTTACTGCCTGTGTGAAACTCATCTGTTTTGTACTGAGTGGTAGGATAGTCGTACTGCCTGCTGAAGTGTAGTGAGCAAGTGAGGTTTGAGAAGGGAGTTAGGTGGGTGGGCACCTGACTGGGATCTCTTTTCGTGGTTAGAAACAGAGTGCTTCTCTGTAAGAACTGAGTACTATGCAGAACCAAAAAGCATAAATAATTCGTTGGGGTGTAGAGTATAGAATCATTAAGGTTGGTAAAAACCACTAAGATCATTTAGTGCAACCATCAGCCCATCCCCACCTTGCCACTGACCATGTCCTTTGGTGCCACATCTACATGGTGACTCCAGCCCCTCCATGAGCAGCCTGTTCCAGTGCCTCTCCACTCTTTTGGAGGAGAAATGTTTCCCAGTATCCAACCAGAACCTCCCCTGTTGCAACATCAAAGCCAGGTGAGAATGAAATACACGATGGCAGAATCACTGTGACTTTGTACACTTTCTTTCAGGTATCATCTTGGAGTATGGAATTCGTATGGAAGAGAAGGTGGTATCTTCAGTTGGGCTGTGTACTGATACTGAATCTGGTTTATGCCAATCTAGACTATCTGAAAGAAGCTCCTGCAAGCTTGGGTCAGATTGACCACCAGTGCTGGGAGGTGTCATCCCAAGGGCTGGTGGAAATGAAGAAACTCAAGGTAGCGGATCCTGTCATTGCTCTCTGGGACTTCATGTTATTCCTAAAGGAATCCCCCAAGCCCAAGCACAATGAACTTTTCAATGATTTGGCCCAGAACTTTTGGGATATGTATGTAGATTGTGTGCTCTCAAGATCCCATGGAATGGGCAGAAGACATTTAGTATCTCCCAGATATTCTTCCACGTACTCACATAGAACTTTAGAAGGTAACTATAGGATATGATGTTGGTCTGTTATGTACTATCATTAAAACCAAACTACTGTCTCATCCTCATCCTCGGTTGTTCCAACAGTGCAATATATTAATTCCCAGGTTTTTGTCTCTGCATGTCAAATGTAGTTGTATCCTTCAGCAGCAGCTACTTTCACAACACACAAGTCAAAAGTTGTTAGAGCACTGAATTTCTCTATGAGGTGTAAATAATGACAGGTATATATGGGACAGTGTAAATAGACGCTGCATGCTCTGTTTATCACTGTGTGCACGTGAAGGATGTTACAATACTAAAAGTTTTCTAGTTTTCAGACTTAAGTCTCAACTTCAGGGAATCACCCCTGTGTGAGAAGGGAAGCACAAAGCCCCAGCAATTTGAACCCTGCTCTTCTCATTGAAACCACTGACATGTAATGTGAGCTCATGGTCACTGAGTGACCAAAGCAATAGATTCTAGTCATCCTGGTTTGGGACGAATCTGACTTGAGATCATACAGGTGACTGCCTTAGATCTTATTATCCAGCCCTAGATCTATTAGCTTCCTTCTTCCTCTGCAACAGACATATTTTTTTCTTTCCTAATTAACCAGTCAAATACTTTAGGTTTCCAAACTGAAATGGAGATCATTTAATCCCAGCACTCCAATCCATAATGCTTGGAAAATAACTGCCTTTCTCTCATAATCTTACAAGGTCTGCTTTCACCAACCCAGTTTAGGTCAAAAGGGGAGGACACAAAGATACCTCAGCAAAGCAATGTCAAAAGGAAGGAGGACAAAAGTACAACATTTACTGTAGATGCTTAGACAAATCAATTGGTGTGGTTCACCTTTTTTTTTTGTTTTTAATGTTAATTTTGATGGAAACCCAATATATTTTTACACATTAAGCAATGGAGAAAATGTCCACATGCATATTTTATAAACTGTGTTTATGTACAATCAACTTTAGTTGTAAGAATTGCAAAGAGTGATGTCAAGCTGAAGAGAAGGTTTATGTTCATTGTAATGTTCCATGCAGCCTAAGCTATGTATTTTATCACTGTGTAGTCTAAGCTATGAATTAATTAAAGTATTTTTCTATGCAACAAGGTCTGTAGAACAGTCATTTCCTTGCCTATGAACATGTTATTTGCAGAACTTCAATGCATTAAGAAGGATCATTTGTATAAGACTGTTCTTTACGTACACATTCATGCAGGTAAGGAAGGGGATACAGTCCATCACTGTCATGGCTGGAAACATCACACCTGAGGACACTCATGAGTGAAGTGGTTTGAAAGTGCAAGACTGGCTTGACTACAGTTCACAGCATAAGAAAACATCCAGCCTGGCAAAACAAATCAGGGGAGCTTAACCATCTAGTGAGCACGGCATGGCTACAGTGAAACGGGTAGATTTCTTATTGGAGGGAACACGGCTAATAAACCCATGAATTAAATAGAGTTGAATGACCAGTTAAAGAATTGTGAGAAACCTATAAAATGCAGAACATTTCAGCTAGTCTTCCTAACAGAGCTAGAGAAACCACTGGCACAGATACGCTTGATAGTGAGCCGTTAGCTGAAGTCCTGATGCTAAAGGCATATTCAGGAAACAAAGTGGACTTGAACAAACACCATGGGTACTTTATGCAGTGCAGATACATAATGAAAATGAAACATTGGGTCTATTTAAGTGAAGGTTCATCACCCTGCTCAAAGAAAGAGACACAAACTGCAGAGTACTGTGTGCATCAACAGAAGATGGAAACCCAAACAGTAGAACTGCTCATAGTGGATCAAGGCAACCAGACACTAGCAGACAATAGCAGACAAACCTTTAGACACAGCATGTGTTTGTACCATGCTGTATAGGATATTTTATTAGTATGTCATCCCCTTGTTTACATTAGTTATAAATATAAAAAATATAACTTTACTCTCAAGATGTTCTATGCCATTTATCAGGACTATACGAAATGTTTTATCTGTACCTAAAATAGACACACAGTTGACTTAAATATTAAAAGCACTGCTCAGAATGCTGTTTATCCTACAAGAACCTAATCTTTCTTGACTGTGTCCAGTGTTTTAACTCTTTTTGTTCTTTTTTAAGGCTTCTTCACGGTAAGGTATCTTTTTAAGAGGCAGGCCTTTATCAGCCAGTGGTCCTTCGACTAACTGAGAAGGTGTACTTCCAACAGTTACTAAGTGACCAGATCCAACCTGAAAAGCAAAATAAATGCATTGCTTGACATCCATGTTAGTATTTAAAAGAAGATGAGACTTAAACCAAGAATTGGTCTTTTGAAAATATTATTCAGAAGCTAGAGATGCATGCTGAAATTTTCTAGGTCTACTTAAATTATTATTTATACTAAAGTCACAAACTGTTCCATCAATACAAAGGAGAAGATAGAGTGATTTTATAACTTTATATACTCTGCTTTTCTGCTTTCATGTTTGATCTTACTAAAAGAAGAAAAGAACACCAAGCCTTTATTACAGTACAAGTTTGTTGTGCAGTTATTTGGATTTGTACATAATATCAGCCACAGTTTTTTGCTATATATTAACACTTAAAAATTCAAAAAAAGTACAGCCTGTTTCTCTGAACACAATTGCCTGTATCTGAAAGAGACATACTGTTTCCAGTTTCCTTAATACTCTTTATACTGAACAGGTTCATGTCTTTGAAAAGAAAACCTTTGGTGACACCTCTAACTTCTAGCCATGTTTCAGTAGGAAAAAGACAATGCCACTGTTTGAGCTTGCATGGCACACTTGTCTGGTTACTTGACTTTGACTTGGTTTGCACCAACCATCTTAGCTTCATTTTCATCTCTCACTACTGAAGATGTTTGGCAAAGAGGAGAAAAGAAGATTTTTCCACAAAAATAAACTGCCAGCAATATTTGACATTTGCCATACTTCTAAGGAATGCAGACAAGGAATTTCATCTGGTGTTGGTGATACATTCATTTTCCTAAAACACACCTGCAAATTGGTTACCTGCTTCCTTGCTTTTATCTACAGTTATTGCAATATTGACTACAGAATCATGAAGATATATTTTTGTTAAATTCTCTCCCTCCAAAGAAATGAATTATTTTATCATGAAGCCCCAAATAAAACCTAACCACGTGTTTCTCTCTACTAGCAATTTTCAGAACGTTCATATTTGTTTCTACATCTTCCAGATGCTTTCTGAAAAATATTGCTGATTAGAAGTCTTCTTTATATATGCATGTAACTACATTTTTCCATCCTATATCTTGCATTACTTACTGTTGTGCCCAAGCCTTTAATATCAGTAGAATGGACTGCTCCATTTTGAGTCTTTGATTTAGATCTGGAAGCCTCTATTGATTTTTCCTGAAGCCTTTTTGCTTTCTAAAGATAGTTAGAAAAAAAAAAGGTAAAATTGTTTTAATCAGAATGAATGATATTATTTGTATCTGTCAGAAAGTACACAAACAAAATGACAAAACAAAGGAGGTAAAAATCTGTTGGCTTTTCATTTCAAGTATTCTCCCTGTGGTTTGTGACCCTCGTGTACTGAGGACCTGAAAACAGAATAAAGGGACATGGCTTCACAGTGATCAGAAGCAAATAATCATTTCCTGAAACTCGTTGGCTTTAATCTTCCGACTGCAGCTTAATATGCTGTTAGTCTTTATCACCACAAGAGCACACTCTTGTCTTTTTTTAGTATGTCATCTCCCAGGATTCCCATATACTACATATTAACACAGCTAATCAGACCCAAGGCTATACTGTGCCACAAAAGCGTTTATACGTCCCAAATGTAAGATACCGCATTTTATTTTCTTCATTTTCATGAAGTTTGAGTCAGTCCATCCTTCAAGATTGTCAAGACCTTTTTGAATGGCAACCCTACCTCACAGCATGTGGATTGTTTCATCCAGTTTGGCATTATGCACGAAAGTGAGAAGAACGCATGCTTATCCAATATCCAGGTTGAGAATGTTACAACATTACTGTCCTGCATACAGATGTGTATATACACAGATACATGTACGTATGAATATATACATACCTATTACTGATCACCAATCTGTGTCTATAATCAGAACAGTAGAAGTACCAAAGATCGTATTGCTCTGCCAACACAGCTCAGAGTTCACTCCTCTATGTGTGAACATAACATTTACTGCATCTTCTACTTGAATAACCTCATCATTCATTAAGAAAAGCGTTAGGAACTTCCCAATTATTATAACTACACTATGAATGCACATTTTGTTCCACCAGATTTTTGTTTTGTTTTGTTTTTTACCTTCAGTGCTTCATAGTTTGATGTCCGAATTAAGAAATTTTCCCAAGATTTGTTTACCATTTCTTTCTGTTTATGGACAGCACGAATCTGTAATATAAAGGAGATTAACAAAATACAACACAAACCTCTTTCCATGAGCTGTCCTGAATTCTTTGCTTGTGCTGTTAAGATAGTACATCTATGTCCCTTTTTGTCACCTTAGCTCATCCCACTCACTTGAATTTGAATGACAGTGCTGTAGTGATACATTTGTTCTTTAAAAACTTCAGGTACACACCCCCTTAAAAACAAAAAAACCCACAAAGCTTACCTTCTGTGCTGCAAGGTAACTATTCCCTTTGTTTTCTAACACAGATGTTGGAAGAGCCCCAGATCTTTCATGACTGTTTTTGTATACGCTTACTCTCAAATGATGAATAACAGAGATGGCATCATTTCTGGTGACAGAAGTGCATGCATGACATTCCCTCCAAAACACTAGCATGAGATTTGAGACATCTGTTCCAACTGCTCTTACTTCTCAGAAGGGAGAAGAGGATGAGACAGTAGAAAAGCGACAATGCCTAATGCCTGCCTTATAACCAAGGCTGGACAATGTTTATAGCTGCTTGCTTTCAGGAGGCTAGGAAGAACAAAGCCCCACTTTAAGAAGTAATGAAGCTTTGTGAGCATTCAGCCAGAGGAGTTTAAAACAGGCTTACATTTCATTTTAAGAAACAGATATGTTAACAATAAGTACTTGAAATTGTTATCTGCTACAGACAGGTGCAACTCTTGCAGTAACATAATTAGCATTTCTCATTATACCACTGTTGATACATCACTGATAACACTGCTTTATTTTTTCATGTTACTCTTTAAATAGTGAAAAAAAATATATACAAACAGAGAACTGGGGTTAATTGCATTTAATTTAAATTTTATGCTGAAATATTAAATATCTTAAAGCAATGCATCCATTTAGGATTCTGAATATTTTATAATACAAAAATCATTATACAAGTTGACAAAAAAATTCCATGGATTTCACCTGTATAAATACTCCTTGACTTACCTGTGTGTATGTTTTTTCCTCCTCTTGGATATCTTGCTGATGATGATTTTCAAGCAGTTCAGTCTGGTAAGCAGTGACCATTTTTCCAATATTTTCTGATACTTCTGAAATAACTTTCAGTATTTCCTCATCTGAACCAATAGGTCTGAATTCTTCTCTTAGTTCTGCACACACTTCACTCCAAACTTCTCCAACCTGTAGATGGAATACACACAGCATGCTGATATTTATCTCTTTTTTCTTTATTGTTGCTTACCTTCTCAGAATCATTATGCAAGGTTAAACTTCAGTAATGCTATACCAAATGCATTCAGAGTAATCTGCCCCTAAGCCCTTCCCACCCCCAAATTCACCCCACACAGACTGGTCACCATGAATGCTGATAACTACAGAAGAAACAGAAATACAAGGTACCAAATTACAAGAGTGAAGAGTCTTGATGGCTTTTTTTTCCTGTAAAATCTCAAGTTATGCATGTTATCAGAGTAAACTGTAACATGAGACATAAACAGAAATTGGAATTATCAACTAAAGGTCAAGTATCACTAGCTTCTGAACATCTCAGCTCTCACAGACTTCTTTCCTAAGCTGAAAATTGGGCTGAATTAAAGCATCTTTTAAGCAGGATGGCCCCTACAAAACTTGTTATGAAGGGAGTGTATAAATAGGAGAGGGAACAGCCATCTATGAGGATGGATAGTGATAGGACAAGGGGGAATGGTCTTAAACTGAGAAAGGGAGGTTTAGTTTAGATCTTAGGAGGAATTTTTTCACCCAGAGGGTGGTGAGGCACTGGAACAGGTTGCCCAAGTTGGTTCTGGATGCCCCATCCCTGAAGGCATTCATCCCTGGAGGCCAGGCTGGATGTGGCTCTGGGCAGCCTGGTCTGATGTTGGCGATCCTGCAAACAGCAGGAGGTTGAAACTGGATGAGCATTGTGGACTTTGTCAACCCAGCCCATTCTATGAATCTGTGATTCTTGCTTCCTGTAGGCAAACCACTCTGATACTTTACATTTGACAATATGGATGGGTACTGAGTGTGGGTGCTGAGTGTTTACAAGGATGGGAAAGCACAGAAAAGCCTTCATCAGAATATGTTTACCGTGATCTTTAGTAGCAAAACCTGTATATATGCTGACCCTGCACAAAGAGGCAGGCCAGCTGTCCACTCCCTCCCCAGCTCCTTACCCCACTCCTATTTCTTGAGCTGGCAAGCAGTTAAAACTACCTTTTTTTTTTTTTTTTTTTTTCCTGAATTATTCTTAATTAGCATTGTTTTCTAGTCTGGTTCACTATGCAGACACAAATATTTGTAGAAATACAAAAGAAGAGCCAGGAAACGCTGGAATGATGGAGGTGGGATAATTTCCTTTGATGCCAAATACCAGTTTACAATTTTATAGAACAACAGGTGACTTGTGACATAGATTACAGCTTGTGAAGGGCTATTTCTTTCTCATATCCTGAGATAATTTGCTATTCTTGTAAAAATATATTCAATAGAAATACGTCCTTCCACAACACTCACCTTAAAGTCAATATACCGCCGTATGATAGCAAGTGTGACAAAATCCTTAGAAGACAAACCAGGCAAATTTTCAAAACCTAAAGGAATATTAATGATCTCAGTAGTGACAGTCTGATCAATTTATCTTAAAATATAACAGTCTAAAAAAGACACCACCTTATTTATATATAATCATATGCAAAATCTTCATCACAAGTACATCAGTAAGTCCCTCTTCCAATCCTGAGCAGGATTTAGGTGATAAAATCCCTCTTTTCTTAAAAACAGATTCACTTTATACCAGCTCTTCCCTTTTGAGCGGATCCAGTGACCTTCCAATTGCTTGTAAATCCAGGTTAGCGCTGGCACTTGCTATGGTTTTTTTCCTTTTCTTTTTTTTTTGTGGGACTTTGATTTGGCATTAAAGCAGACAAACAGTTGAGTGTACAGGTCACAATTTCCCCAGATGCATTTTAGCACAGAGTTTGTGAAATATCCAACAGGAGAATGGTATCACAGGATCTCCAACACCTTGTTTCAAAGCTGAGTAGTGAAGATTATTTCCACCTCATAGACTTGAGATGAACATAATGAATCCATCTTAAAAGTGTATTTTTAACAATATGTGTGAAGGAATAAGAAAGAGTAGTATGGTTGCTGGGACTACACCTCATATTTTGTGTATGCTGAACATTCATTCTACTCAGTGTTTTAAAAAACTATTTCTATATAGCCTATTAAAGCTATTTCTAGATTTCAACAGATGGTAATCTGTGTGATAACTGGAAACACAGCATCTGTTTATTATAGCATAACTACATCGTGTTTTGAAGTTAAGACATTTCATAAATAAAGATCAATTAACACCGGAACCACTCCGTTACAGGCTGCTATGAAGCATAACTACACTAAGAAAAAGATGATAGAAAAAGACTATAAGAATTCTCAGTCTTATCCACTTCCACATCATTTCAGTACTTCATAGGAGACTTTAAAAAGTACATAAGTAACATGAGAGGTATGTATAAATACAGAAGAAAGCTGGAACAGAATCGCATGCCTTTTTGATTTAATAAAGAATTCAGCTGTGATGATCCAAGATCAACATAATTAACACTAATAAGAAGTTGGGTTAAAACAGAGAAAGAACTGGCCATAGTCTGTTAGAGAAACTGAAGATGTTTTGAAATCAGCTGGTTCCTAGGGTGGCCAGGGAACTGGTTGAAAGCAGACTCAGAACTATTACTCACTATCATTGAACCCACTGAGGACAGACTTGAAAAGAACAAACATAATGTCTATTTTTAAAAAGAAAAAATTAGAAGACAAAGAACAGTGGTTAAATCCAGTTTGGGTAGCTAAATGGTAACAGTCGAAATACTAACATCCATCATGAAGTAATAAAAAAAGACCGTGTCATTCTGCCTACTATTCTGTACAGCCAAGCAAGAAGGCTTATCAAGTATCTGAACTTCAGATCAGGTTTTTAGACAAAGGTGTAATAACTATTCATATTCAATGGGCAAACAACACATAATTAGAAGAGAGTGCAGCAAATTGAAGCCAAAGAAAAGAATGCAAATTAAAATACCAGTTTGAAAAACTATTTTAAAAACACAGAATGTAATTCAGTAAGGACAAATGCAAAATTCGTAGAAAAAGTCAACTGTTCAGATCCAGATGTTAGATGACTGGAGGCTGTACAAGATCACACATATCAAGTGAGGAAATGCCATTGTGACAATAGCAATTGTTATATTATTGCCAGTATGGTTATTTACAAGATGAGAAATATAGTTCTATTAGGTTGTGAGGCTTCTGCTGGAGTGTGTTCAGTTTTGGGACATGACAGATCAAGACGAATGTGAATCAATTGAAAAGGTTCAAGAAAAAAATGATGAAAATAATCAGAGGCTATTCTAGGAAATGACAACTATGGGTAAAGAATGTAGAATGCAGTACTTCTAATGACAAGAGATAATATACGTGAAAGATACTATGTGCAGGAAAATAAATGACACAACATTTCCATGAAACTTTCAATTTGATTCTTGAAAGCTTGCTAATGGTAAGGGCAGCAAAACATTGGTGAAGTCTTGCAATCCCCATCAAAAGAGGCTTCTTAGAAGAGGATGAGCAAGCATCTAATAATAACAGACTATTGATCATCTCAAGTTCCTTTTTTTTTTAATATTAGAGACTTGATTGACTGCCAGTGAACAAGTTTTGTTTAATGACAAATATGACACTGAGAAGGCAATTCATTTGTCTTACCTAGTTTGCACAATAATGAATAAAGTTTTGCCCGTATGTTTTCTGAAATTTCCACAATGGCAAAGCTGGGACAGCTGGAAGGCATGGGGATGACCTCTTGCTCTTTCTGGAAGCTGCCAGCAATAGGCCTCTTTACATCTAAATGTTTCAAAATATAACAGCAGTTGAAGAGGCAGCATGGACAGTATGTTCCCAAAGCTATTAAGATTAGAGGAAATGCTATTTTAGTCATGGAGAAAAAAAAAAACAAAACCCACACATATCTTTGGCTTGCAGCTACTGACATTATCTTTTCTGTGGTGCCTCCTCCAAAAGAAGGTAGTTCTGTCTTAGACTGTGGACAACACACAAAACATGTCACCAATCTGCCCAGAAATTTGGTCCAGGAGATATTAATTAGCATGACTAGAGATTCGTGGTATCATGGCACTCTCCTTTTCTATTTTTACAATATATGAAGAAACACAATGTCATTTTTGGAAGAAATTAAGTAATTTTCCAGCATTAGAAAACCAGTTTAAAGTACCTGTAATGGTTCATTTTTCCCAGTTAATGTAGGAAGTGCCATCTAGCGGCCAGACTCCAATAAAACATACATGAAGTATTCTGACTTTGCTGAGCACTGCAGCATAAACGTACAAATATTACAGTTTACTCTCATCAGGATTCTGGCATCAAAAGCAAATATATATTTTTAATTAATTTATTATGTGAGCAGCTTCACTGACTAACAGTTTCACATGTATCACAAAACTTACCAGCAATCCTTCCATATCGATCACGTTGGACTCCCAAGTCCATTTCCTCCTGCCTCCATAGCTGTATTAGCAGTTTAGCTGCTGTTTGATCTTTCTCCCCCCGCCAAGCACTGATGTGAATAATGGTTTTGGGATTGTCACAAAACTCACTGAGGATCCCAAGAATTACATTGAACAAGTTTTTTTGTTTTAACTTGGTGAAGAGAAAAGGAAAAAAAAGTTTCAATTTGTCATAGCACAGAATTAATCTACATTCAGATTTAAAAAACAAAAAGAGGAATTCTGTAATAAGTAATTGAGTAAGTAGAAGCTTTTAATCACAGATATTTGCCCCCCAAAAAAGGTGTCTAAACTTTCAATCTCTCAGGGTTCTTGCCATGCAATGTTCCATAAATCAAGGAACGTGAAGGGGAATTTATGTAGGGTCATGTGAGATGCCTGTGTGTCAAATTACTTAATAGGTACCTCCAGGCTCACATGCAGATGAATTAATTCATCAATGGAGATGAATTAATGTTTTTGATGATGTGCTACTACCAAGATTTATATTCATAAGAAACAGACTCAGAAGGCAGAGGCAGTACCATAGAAGATCTGTTTTCTGTGGCCAGACCTTTGAGCAGCAGGAAAGGGCCTTCAGCTTTGTGAAATGCTTGAAGTGAAATGCCAGTGCCAGACACAAGCCACAGATCAATAAAAGTAGCTATTACACTACTTGTAGCTGTTATGTTGCATGTACAAAATAACTTTAAACGCCAAAACTTTTAAAGCCTTGAAGAGTATACTATCTCTTCTGTTACTAACTTCAATATGAAGAATGGAGGTGCTTTTCTAGCAGATATGTCATTCAAAATAAAGCATAGCTTGAGTTTCCTTGCAAAAAAATTCTCGGTAAATTTAAGACTCTCTGCCAACTGCTTATTTAACAAAAAAGATACAAGGAATATCTTTCCAGTCATTTCAGAGCAGATATCTGGTGTGCAGATTACATTCCTATCTCAGGGAATTATGCAGACTGGCCTTCTTGTCACTACTACAACAGTCTTAGGAGATACCATTAAAAATACAATTTTCCATGTTGTTTTACTACTCTTTCATTTTGTAATAAAAATAATAAAAATACCTACTGCCAGCAAATCCAGAAGGAGAAAAATGCCTTGTTGTTCTAGAAAATAATCCTCTGCAATGTAGCATCCAATGACACACGACCTTCAACAGAAATAATTTCAATATGTAAGAACATTTTTATGTTTCAGAGCATTCTACAAATATTCCATTTATTTTACTGAATTACATAAAAATACTTAGTATTCAATAAGCTTAATACCTTTAGGGAGTAGAAGAAATGATTTTCATATGCTTGCACTTGTGCATTTTCATTTCACAGAATCACACAGAATCACAGAATTGTAGGGGTTGGAAGGGACCTCCAGAGATCATCGAGTCCAACCCCCCTGCCAAAGCAGGTTCCCTACAGCAGGTCGCACAGGTAGGCATCCAGGCAGGTCTGGAACATCTCCAGAGAAGGAGACTCCACCACCTCCCTGGGCAGCCTGTTCCAGTGCTCCGTCACCTCACTGTAAAGAAGTTCTTATGCACATTTGTGCGGAACTTCCTATGCTGCAGTTTCCAGCCGTTTCCCCTTGTCCTGTCTCCACTCACCACTGAAAAGAGTCCGGCCTCGCCATTCTGCCCCCACACCTTAGATATTTATAGACCTGGATCAGGTCCCCTCTGTATACTGTTTATACTGTGTAATTAAATAGAACCTATATTACCACAATTTCTTTTCCTGTAGGTGGCACACCTTCCTCAGAGCAGCCAAGAAATTTGGCAGGTTCATTACAAACTGGATTAGAATAGAGATTTGAACTAAAACTCAGTAGAAGTGCTAACATTAAGCTATACGATATTATTGATCTGGCTCACTGCAAAGTTGTGTAAATATTCCTGCAGTAGAATCAAGAGAGTGAGACGATGAAGACTTTCTTTGGGCAACAGGGCTGGCTTCTCCCAGCTTAAACCAATCATAAAAGCAGCACTCATGATGCTATTGCTGTCTTCAATAATTTCCAGATTAATGCAGAGACTGAAGGGTTTGCCTGCATCACTGAGCTGTCTGTTCTCCCAGACAATGATATTAAATAGCTTTCTGTATATTTATCAAACGCTGACTTCAAACAAATTAACTTTTGTTTATCCTTTTGTATCTCTGATAGCAATTTTTGAAAAATTTCTAGTCCAGTATAGGCAGTATAGGCAGTCCACAAACACTTCTCATGCCTGCACAATTTTTTGCTAACAATGGTCTATAATCAATTTGTGTTTACTCTTTGAAGTAATTTAGAGACTCCAACCAGAAACTTATTTTCTGGAAAGTTTAAAGTAGCTCTGCATTGAAGTGTCAGCAGGTCCCTGAAGGCACTCAAGGCCAGGCTGGATGTGGCTCTGGGCAGCCTGGTCTGGTGGTTGGCGACCCTGCCTGTGAACGGGGGGTTGAAACTAGATGATCATTGTGGTCCTTTTCAACCCAGGCCATTCTATGATTCTATGAGGCCAATCTGTGCAGGGAGTTGTATTGCTGTGTAGGGACAGGGAATTAGACCATCTCACTGTGTCCCTGTCTAAGTAATTTATGCAAAATATCTCTGTTATTTTTGTATTCTTTTGTAATTAGTCAACACTAACTTTTACATGTTTTAAATGAAAGAAGAACCTATATTGCAGAGAAGGCCATAATACTGCAGATGAAAAATCTATAAGCTGCTATTTTTAACAGCTGCCACTGCTAAAACACTTCTTTACTAACCACAAGCAGTCCAGTGCACTGAAAAGGAGACGATTGTGGCCCAGTCCACTGTGCAGCTTCTTTGGATCCATCTGAATGAATGGGATAAGTAAATCCACTCCTTCATAGCTGAAGAGTTCCTGTCAAAAATAATTAAAGCAATACTTTTCTGAAATAATATTTACTAAGTAGCTACACATCAGAAAATCAGAAAGAAAATTTTACATTTAAAGTGTGTATGTTGTAATAAATTTGGCCTCATACTTAAACTGGGATATATTTCTCATAATAAACATAAAAGAACTATTCAGTACTGCTTATGATAACTGATAATCCCATTCTTCAACATGTTTTCATACTTTTATTAAAAACATGTAAATTAGCAACTATATAGGTGAGACACTTGCTAATGGATTTCTGAGTGATTTTAACAGCCACACATAGCGGTTATCAGCTCTGACCTTCTAGCAATGAAGTACAACTGGCATTTGCTATTGATTTAAGAAACAAACAAACAAAATATTTTCTGTTCATGATGAGGTAGAAGGATACAAACCTTTCTGTGGACATCATTTTCACAGAGAACAGACAAAATAAAGAATATATTAGCCTGGATTTCCAGCAGAACGGCATCATCTTTTTGTTCCAATTTGTTTGCTGTATACTTCAGGATATCTACAAAAGAAAACATTTCATACATGTACATGTTCTACATGGAAGTCAGAAACCTATCTGATACACGAGTTATATTGCTAATTTTGCTCTCATTAAAATCTGAATGTTTTCACAGTTTTTTATTTTTACTTTTGGTTTTGCTTTTCAGAGGAGTTTAATTTTCAGCTGAGAATATAAAATATGTTGTTTCTAGGCTTTCTATTAGACCATACTCTGAACTCCAAACAATCTTGCCTATTTGTTCCTTTCAGTGCAATTCTTTCAGAGCTGGAAAACTGATTATTGTAAGGTAAGAATTTAAAATAGTATCAGAACTTAAAAATTACATATGATAGTAGGAATTGTTACTGAAAAAAAAATCTAAATAGCAGTGATTATGAAGTTTTATACTGATTTTAATCTTCATAAAGTTATTTACTTGAAAATACACTGGTTTTGATTTTCTTTCCTCTTGATTCTTAAGAGTTGTGGGAAGTCACAGTATAGAACCAGACTCACAACAGGATTTCCTACAGACAGTACAAATAATGTGCAACAAACACGGTATAATGACAGAAATAATAGGGTCAGCTTTCATTTGATTAAAAATCAAACTACTTTTTGTATTTAGGGTGTACACACCTACACACCTAATAAAACACATTGTAAGAAAAGGCATGAAAATTCTCAGTGTCTAAAGTGTCACAATAAGCAATAATATACAGTAAGCAATAAAAAGCTTGCTTTACCCAGTAGCTGGCTAATAGCTCCCTGGTCACACAAATTAAGGCTCACAGCATCATCATAAAGGGATACAACAGATTTCAGCACTCTCAGACTGTAGCGCATTTGAGCAAGCTTGCTGCCACGACCACCTGTTCCATGGAAACTGTTACCTTGACCAAAGAAAGGATCTGTGGAGCAAACACAAAGACTATTTTCATTGGCAGACAACGTATGTTCATAATAATAACGTTCCCAGAATTTTCCATAAATAAAAAGAAGGCCTTGCCATTGCAAGTAAGCTAAAACAAGCAAACAAATATCTTACTGCTAAAAAAGCTTCTTGATTGAAATAGCCTATTAGGAAGCCATTTTATGAAGGGCTATACTATATGCCAAAAAAAAAGTTTGATTTTGATTAACATTGAAAATTATTACAGTTTTTTTTTTAAAATTTATTTTTACTTTATTAGGTTAATAAGGGGCTTCTTCAAAGTTTTCCATCTTTCCTTTCTGCCAAAGAAATTAAGGTCAGGTGAGTTGTGTGCTGAGGTTACTGTGGTACGAAAGCCATGAATGTCTACTAACCTTGACCTATACACCACTCTAGAAACATAAGGAGAAGAGTATTTGCTTGGCAAGACAAATATTTATCAATTAACAAGGGAGCCACTGAAGCTAAAATAGCAATTGCATGAAGCTGTAATTCCTCATATTGGGCAGCAGACCAGTCATGAAATCCAGGCTTTTTATGTGGTTTTACATAATCCAACAAAGCTGGCATCACATCATTTTCACTGAGAAGCTGCAGATTCAAAAGAGAAAGAGACAGCTTACAGGTTTCACATGCAAGTAAGAAAAATCTTTATAGTTTGCTTTATCTATCCTACATTAAAAAAAAATTATTTTTTATTGGGAAAGGATGTCAGGAACAGTACAAGTACAGACAAGCTGTGTTTATACTCTGTAGCATTCCCAAAATCTGTGGTTTGTAAAACTTTATTATGCTCTTCAATTGTATCTCAATAATGCTTTGCAGCCACTTGTCAGCTCATTTTTCTAGCACGATCTAGGTTTGCAGCTTCTCTAAAACAAACCACACTCTGCTTTCAAACAGCAAACTTGGCTTGAAGTTACATATAGTGTCTAGTTTTGAATTCTTCATTTAGAGAACAGTTTGTTTCAGTTTACTAGACTATGTCAGATGAACAGATAAATAGAAATCGTGAATTTTTTACTTATTTTCTTTTTTGGCTTACTGTATCTTCTGTTATCTTAGAACTTACCTGTACAGCATGCGGGTCTTTAGAAAAGATCCCTATTATGTTAAACAACAACTTCTTCATCTCAAAGTCTTCGTAAGAGTAGGTAAGTTTAAGACCTTTTAACAAAGGATTGGGAATTTTAGCTGTGAAGGAAATCGATATGTTAATAGATACATTCTGACAATATTTCAATTAAAAGAAAAAAAAATAATGTGATTACATAGTATGAAACTTCTTACCTTCAGTAAATGTTGCAAGTACTATTAACAGCATTGTAAATCCACTTTCCTAGTAGGCATTCAAAAATAAATACATTAATTGAAACAAATTGCTGTAAAATTAAAACTGATTATTTAATTTTGTTTTCTCTTTTTCTTCAGAACATAGAATTTAATGTATTCTATAGCAAAATACAGAATTTTATCAAAGAGTTCAATTTGGACACTGTACAATACTTATTAACAATTCTTTAAAGCCATGTCTCACCCAGCAAATCTGAACTTGTATGGGGAAGTCCCAAACACATGTGCTCACTATTGTAATCTACCACACAGGAGAACAACATTCTCAGTGCTGTGAGATTGAGGCTTTTTTTCTTTTCTTTTCTTTCAAAAAGCATTTGTGCACACAGAACTTTGTACATCAAGGTCATCACAACATACAATTTCAGCTTCAGTGCTTTACAATTAAGCTTACGAAAACTGCATGTATGAGCAACTTGGATTTACAAATATGATAGTGCTACTAGACAACCAGAAGGATAATCACGTCCAATATCACTATGGACAACAGGGGTTGTCCACAGAGCACACTGGAGACAAAAGAGCTGTTTCTAAGAGGATTGGAAACCAGGTAAATGCAGTTAGTAGGACACTGCTCTTGAACAAAAAACACATTAAGTTGGCCTCAGCACTCATGCAAACTCATCACAGGGCCTTCCACCAGCACACAGCGTGAACAGAGTTCACACTATTTATTTTTAGTACAAGGACTTAAAATGCCATGTCTTTGTTATTGTTTCTTGTAGGAAAAAAACTGCCTTGTTTCTGCAGCCATGTAAACAATTTGAATGCTTTAGACATCAAATATCTTTCTGCAATAGTATGACAGACATTCCTTGATGTGAGTGATAAAATGGAAAAACGGAATGAAGAATCTGTAATCTTCACATAGACTATAAAATCTATTTGGCAATATAGTCAAATAGGAAAATTCTGCAGAGGCTTAGATATGAATTCCCTGAAAATAACCCATTCCTGAACAGCCAGTTGATCAGCACAGACAGTAATTTGATTACTTAGTCATTCTGCTTTTATGCCAGCATCCTAAATCTCAACTGTAAAGCAAGAGAGTTGTATGGGAACTGCTGAGTCACGGCCTGAACCTCTGATTGATCACCTGAGGCGAGCCATGAGTCAGCCAGAGGAGCACAGGTGAAGGCAATTCTCCTGTGCTGCCGGAAGGCGGGGAGCCAGGCTGCACCCCTCCTGGACCTATTTAAGAGCTGGCTACCAGAGGGGAAGGATCTCTTCTGGAGATTGCCTCTCTTGGTGTTTTGTGGTGAGCTCAGCTGAAGGGTAAGCTCTTCTGCCTATTCTCTTTTTGTGATCGTTGTCTACTTTGTCTAACTCTCTTGATTGTGTTGTGATTATAACATCTTGATACCTATTGATTATACAATTATATTGTGATTATAACATCTTGATATCTATTGATTATACAAGTGTGAAAGAATATCAACAGCCATAAAAAGTTGCCTTCAATCAGGTTCCTCATGAAAACTCTGGCATGAAAACATTCTGAAGCAAAAGAATGATGCATCTTCTTTTTAGACAAGTCATGGTAATGCATTTAGGGCTACATTTAGATGATGTGGTTTTAGAGAGAATTTATCTGTCTCGTTAACTGGATCTAGTCAATTTTCTTTTCAGCATCTTATTTAAATCTGAGGTCATTTCTTACAAGGCTAAGGTACTTTGGTTAAATTTGGGCTATCTAAATACAGCTGGTACTTTTGTATCTTCAGACAACAAATAAAACATAGTGCAAAACTCACTGTTACAGAATGGCACATCTGAGAACATGTACAGGAGCTAACTTTTGCACATTATTAGCTAGCTTCCTAAGTACCAAATAAAGTTGATGCTAGCATACCAGACTAATGACATACAGATTTGTAATCTCTCTGAGATAGAAGGAACAGCAAAAAGAAAAAAGATTCCTGGCTTAACAGACCTAAGAGCTAAGCACTGAAGACAGATTTTAACAAACAGAAGCTTAACAGTGAAAACTATTTAAATATTTAGAACTATTTAAATATACAATAGAAAAGGAAAAGTTACCAGCCTTAAAAATACAATTATGAATACTTACAATCATAGATGCTGCAGAGTTTTCAGCTACTAATGTGGCAATCACCAGGAGGTCGTTCCTTAGCTGACGATCAGAATGGCGAAAACCATTTATGAGCCGGTCCACAAATGCTTCCTTCATTGCACTTACAATAAAGTGAAAAGCATTTTACTCTCTCCGTATCCTAATTTTAGACAGCTCTAGATATAAGGATCCTCATTCAGCATCATACTTTTCAAAGTCTTATTGTTAAACAACAGAATATGAAATGAATTCTTACGTGTACCACTAGAAACACAATTTAAGCATATATGCACCTTGCATACAATTTGTATTTCAAATTGCATCTTCTATTGTATGTGTTATAATGACTTACTTAATTGAAAGACATAATGCTTATTCAATTGTGGATGCTGTTGAGTGGTTATTGAGAAGAGATGATACAATCCCAAGTAGCAAAACCAGTGTAATTCACTGAGAACTCATTACCTACCTCAGCAGAAGATTTAAAACAAAGCCTCAGATGCCATAATACAGACTTTCTTACTAATTTTACCACAGAATCATGGAATGGCTTAGGTTGAAGATTATCTAGTTCCAACCACCTGCCAAGGGCAGGGTTGCCAGCCAGGGTTGATCAGGCTGCCCAGGATCCCATTCAACTTGGCCTTGAATGCCTCCAGAGATGGGGCACCCACACCTTCTCAGGGCAACCTGTTCCATCACCCCACCACCACTTATAATTATGCAACACAATAACAGTGCTTTAGGTTTCTCCAAAATTACAACAGTAATTCATAAAATGCTTCACTGTACTTACTGTATACATTCCAAGCTACTGAGTTGATTAACAACTTCTTCTTTTGAGGTATTTTCTAGTAGATTCCATAAGATTTCTGATGAGCGGAACACCAGCTGTCCTGAGGGATCAGTGCCATTTAGATACAAACAGAGTCTGCTGGCTGCTTGAGCCTTCATCATATGTCTGCAATTTACTCCTGAAATTATGAAAATCTGAACAATTAATTCTAAGTAGGTCAGTCATTCTTCTAGAGAACAAATGATCAAGGATAGTAAGACTGTTGAAAGAACAATCTGTACTAACCAGAGCTGGAGAGGTGCTCAAGAGCTTTAAGAACCCACAACTTCTCAGTAAGTTGATTTTCAACTAATGCTAGAGATAAAACAAGAGTTTCTGCTAATCCTCCTAATTCAGCCATCTGAATCTTATAGTTTGCACTTGTTGGCTGGTAACCTGCACATAGAATAGGTTTTATTACAACACAGTAAATTCAGATTTTTGGTTACTTCATGAATCATTCATCCTTTATCAAAAAAGGATTGAGATGGGAGTGGCGTATTTCTTTAGATTTAAATCAATGGAAAAAAATCTAATAAAACACCGGGAGCTGATTATATCTGAGTATTAACAGTGCCTAAAGCATACTCAATAGACTTACCTTCTAGAAGACTAAAATGTTATATAAATACATAAATTGCTTTCTAGAATGACAAGAGCGAAACGATGTGCAGGGAGAGGTCTTCCTTCTTCAGGTCATGCAGCATGTGCTGGTGCAGGACCTAGTTCTTTTCTTTAGTCTCTGCACTAGAATTAATGCCTTCCACTATCATATTACTTAAAGCATGTGAATCCAAACTTTGATTTACATGTCTGAATTTCTAATGCATCCCTGGTTTTACTTTTGCCCATGAACATGGGAATCCATATTTTATCACTGAATTATAGAGGAAGGGGAAGCGCAGAGAATTTACATTTACACATGTTAACTTGTGAATGTAAAGTGTTTCTTAAATAGCTTAAATATATATATATAAAATAACACAAAACGCAAATAACACACATAGTGAAAGGCTGCTTTAATTAAGTATAAACTCTCATAGGTTCTAAATGGTATCGTTTTATAAATAAGAGATCCTTATGGACTGCTCTAGGAAAATATCAGCTCAATTTCTGAGGGAAAGTTTCAAAAGATCCAAGGAAATATTAGCAATTGTGAAAAAGTACAGTAGATAAAACAGAATATCACTGCAACACTGTCTGGCATGCCAGCATCCAGCGCATTCAGCAATAGCAGCCTCCCACATCTCAAAAAACAGAGCAGACCAGAAAAAATTACATGTGGCAAGGTAACAAGTATTATTAAAGGCACTGAAAAGCTTACATACTAACAAGTTCAAACAGATTTGCCATCTTGACCTAGTAAATATGTGAATAAGAGTGGATAGCACAGACACATAAAATGAAGAATGCTTAGAGATGAATTTGATTCACAAAGTCAGACTGAAATACTTTTTTTTTTTTTTTTAATGAGATACCTAAATCTGGAGAAGAAAAATAAAATCTCTCTGTATTTTAACATTCAATTATGTTGATTGAATTATTCATAGACACACAGCTAAATGCATACATAGGCACACACACCTACATGCTTGTAGGACTTGGAATCTCTCTTGTAAGTTAAGAACAGATTTAAATGCTTCCATGCTTCCAGAACCTTGTGAGGGCGGTTGCAGTGACAGTTTCCTTAGGCCTCCAGAAATAAATGATGACTAGCCAGAGGGCCCAGGAGCTAATGCTACACCATGGGAACACAGCAGGGGGGCATACTGAAGTCCAGCACGCTACCTCAGCTGCGCTCTGGATCCACACTGCACCAATTCTCACCTGTAGCTTGGCCACATTACAACCTAGTATTGCCTTCCAGCACTGATCATGTGCACCTCTAAGAGGGGATTCATGCCTGACTTTTTCTTGTAACAGACTCTGACGTCGTCATAAGGAATAAATATAGTGCATTCTGACTAGTTTGCATACATATCCATACTGCACAGGATCATGCCTGAGCTCATCTGCAGCCATACCCAGCCTCTTTCTGCAGATAAGTTCCATAATTTATTCAGAGCCTATGCTGAAATGTTTCCATAAGGACATGATTAAAATTAGATGGGTTCAGAAGTTGCTCCCTTATGAGCAACGCAAGAGAAACCAGAGTTGCTACATATACATAGCTGAAAATTATGTTTCCTTTCTTATAAATCTGGTCCTAATTAGTCTTTTTTCCTCTATTACCCATTTTTTCAGAGAGCTTGTGACTGCTTCACATCTTCTGAATACTACTTAATCCTAGTTGTATAAATGTAATAAATAATTCATTGCACACTGATGAAATAATTTAATACTTTGAGTATGCATGTCTGTAAAGATGTATTAATTGTACACTCAGCAATGCTACATACTTATATAAGAGTGACTATGGTTATATAGAAAAAAAATCACCTAATTAAAGGATCTATTTCAAACTAGCTGGCTACAAACACAGATTTCTTCTGACGCTTCTTCTTGAAAACACTGTGCCTTACCTGGAAGTAGTTTTTTTGGCAGCTCCATCTTATAAAAGCTAATTATACACTTACAGATTTGTATTCTAACTCGAGAACTTGGCACCCTCATCAAACAACCTGCCAGAAACAGAAAAACAAAATAATGTACAAAGTTAATAATTGTACAAAGTTAATAATTGTTATAGAAATTCACCATCATTCCATTTTCAGTACTTTGCGTTTCCTCTGGCCATACCCCCTACAAATCTTTCTATTTTGCGAGCAGTTGGATTATAAAATACTCCAGGAACCAAAACCCCAACACTGAATACGACAAAGTAGCCTTGGAGGAGCAACATAAGTTTTATCCAAAAGTGACCTCCTCTGCTTTATGGCTACAGATCCTTGTGAGACAGGATGTTGTTCCAGAAGGTACTCAGGAGAAAGCTACTACACCAGGCTGCTGTCATCATGTCAGACACTCTTCAAGCAGCCATGATATGACACAGTGGGAGCATGAAAAGCATTCCTTTTCCACACGATAAAAAGAAACCCTGTGAGACCTACAGGGCCCAGCATAGATCATATACATAAAATTTCAGATTTTAGTATCTCTTTTTGGACAGGCTACCCTAAGGAGAATCTGGAACTATCTGAAGCCCACAGCCCATTCTTTTATCTATCTGGGAATATGAAAATGAAGACTTAAGAATGATTTCTTTGTCATCGATGTGAAGGACAATCTTTCTTCCATTTGTGATAGGCTGATTGTGCTACCCTGTACCATTAGAACCATTAGAATTAGATGGATACCTTGCCATCCATACTATTGATGGAATCTTTACCATCAGGTGAGTTGATAAGTCAGTATTGCTTCACATACTGCTTTTGATCTACAAGACTTGCAATACTTCCTTTGAAAATCACAGATATCACATGCAAGGTCATTTAACAAGATACTGTGGTACTTAGATGTCCAGTGACACTGATAGATGAGTTTGACACTTTTTCCTCTAAAGCTCTCTTAAAATGGATAGAAGCTTAAAGCTCAGATACAAGCCAAAGGTTAAGGTCAGGAACTGCTGCTCCTAGTAAGGCACAGCATTACACTGACTTGCTGTACTTTGCCTTTGTAGGTGATAAAACTCAGGCTTTCAGGTTTTGAAGGCAGAAGCTGAAATTTAAGAGTTACTGTTTCTAACATCTTTATTCCATTTGGTTTCAAAGACTAAAAGGAACATATTCCCCTTATCCCAGACTTCAGTGTAGTAATACACACATTTCTCAGAGCAAACAGCAATCAAACAAGTTTGAATCAAACAAGTTTAGTTCTTCAACTGTATTGATAAAGTTATCTCACACAGCTTCTGACACTGGCAAACAGGTAACTGCTAGCTAATCCCTGGGTTAGCTGCACAGCAAAATAAGAGTGGTATCTAAATACTAAAAAGCACAGAGCACTGACTGAATAATCAAAATAAATGATGTGCACTTACTACAGAAGTAACAAGCAATTAAAATTGTGATAATAATTCAGTTCATTTTATATATTGATGGTCTTATGGCATCTCAGTCTACACTCACCAAGTTGTGCAATGGATTTTGAAACTGCCGCAGAATAGTTTACTTCATCTGATAATTTCTTTTTTTGAAATGGCAAACTACAAAATGAAATAAAGAAATATTACAAGCATGTTTAAAATACTGCAGAAGAATATTTTAATATACCACCAGGAAAGCTCAACGTTTTTTTTTCTCTCCTTCCTTCAAGCATTTTTGCAAACCTGGACACTTTTTGCAAGACAAATACATCCTCTGCCATGCTGTTTCTATACTGAGAGCTCCAGTTCCACAATTTGGCAACTTCATTTTGGCAAACAGTAGTAGGTATTTCACAGAGAACATTTCCATAATTCATATTTGGTATAATCAGAAATTCTTTGAACAAACAAATGTCAGTTAAGTGTGGAAGACGGAATCCTCGAACAGAGGTACTATCAAGCTATTGCAGAGTCTCACTATGAAGAGATATAAGCAGAGATGGAAAACAAGATCATATCCCCGGGCAAGACCTCTAGAAATAGATGAAAATAAAACCAATAAACTGACTCAAAATAGTCCAATTACATATTCATTTTTAAAAACAGGATATTAAGAAATATCCAATAACACTTGCAAAATACTCAAATATGACATAAACATGTAAGAGCTAAAAATTCCTTAAGAGTACACATTACAATACCATGCTGAGGTCTGTGCTGCTCACAGTGCAGAAACAGCTTTCCGGTAGGTTTACCTCTGTAAACACAGCCAGAGAAAAGGAGAGATCGAGTAATAGAATAAATGTGTGGGGTGGGGAAGGGTGGGGGAAGAAAAAGACACAGACACTGAAATAAGCGGGAAGACAGGCAAATAGCTGCAGCTACAAAAGAAGTGGAAAATTCTGCTATGAGAGTTCTAGTATCAAAAAGGAATTGTTAAATTGCAGCTCCTCCCCTAGTTTCAGGCTTCTCTTTGTCATGTTAAGTAATGAATTGTGGGGGAACTTCCATAATATAAAAATTAAAGTAAAACCCAAGGGCACAATCATTCAAAATATATAAACATAACTAAAGTTGCTGAACTACTACAAAAAAACTACTACTACACTACTCACAACTACATTTCATTGACTCTGTATCTTCATTCCCAGTTTTGCCACGTTTCTGGCACACACACAGGGAAATGAACCCCCGTGATGTATTTTCTCATTCTCCACTGTGTGGCAGCAAAGTAAAGCAGTATATCTGCTTTTTGAAGTAAAAGATTCAGCTCAAAAATGTTATGTTTACTAAAGCCAACAGCTGAAAGAAAGCTATGCAAAACCCTTTTTGAATACCAGCTCACTCATTTACTACATGGCATAATTTTTCTCTTCCTTGTTCTCACCAATTGTAATAGCTGACTAACTTGTTACAGAAAAGTCCATGAGCAACTTATAATTTACAAGTTCTTCAGAAGAAGGAGACAGGTATGGACAAGTATGGTAACACCTGAACTCTATTCTACTAGTAATTTGCAGTACAGTATGACAATGAAGATGTTAAAAGTTTATAAAACATGTTCGTAAAGCAACTTGAAATCCTTCAATTGCCATAACATTTCCTCTTTTGCAACATGGCCTGTCATTTCCCAAAGCTTACCTTCAGCTATTTAAGTGTCAGTTTTTTTAAACTCACTGAGAAAGCTCGTTTGAAACATCAAAACACACTTCAGCAAGATTTAACAGCTGAATCTCTTGAGGGCAGCAGCCCTAGAATAACTTAACTGTAGGCAATGAAGCACCTTGGGGAATCTTACTTCCAAGTAAGCTGGAAGTTTTGCATGATGTAATATGTGGCTCCACTGATTCTTGGCTCCTGAATTGTGCCTTTCATGCCAGTAGAAAATGGACTCAAGGTAAAAACTGTTCATGAAAAGGAAGGGTGACATAATAGATACCTTGCAGAAGTAGATGCCTTCTATTGCAGGTGCCATAGGAATACAGGAGTTCTTTTAGAAACTGTATGAATGTGTTAACAAGTAGTGTTTGAAATCTATAAAAAGGCTTAGATACTTACCCACATAACTTTATAAGTTCACATACGGGCTCAACGAAAGCTTCTTGTTCATTCACTTTTTCTGCACACAGGTTAAGAATGTCCATTATTTGTGTTAAATCCTTAATGGGCTTTTAATTTAAAGCTAAGGAAATCCAAACGTTTGTTTTGCTATGAATTAAATGAGCTTGGAAACTGTATCATATTTCAAAGACAGAACTAAGAACAACCAAAGCCAGTGCTTTTAAAGTTAGAAGAGTAAAATGAAGCTCGTGAGTCTACACTTTGATCTTTGGAAGCAGCCTTCCTTTTACAGAAGTGAAACTCCCGCAGGTCTCATTTAGCTTTTTTCTCAGCTGAACTCACTGGAAGTTCAAAACTGGGTATCTAAAAATATAGGACAGAAACATCATTTAGGTAGATCTAAAAATCATTTAGGTAGATTTATCTACCTAAATTCTGTCTGAAGCAGCATTGTGGTATTTAAATCCTTTCCTATTCTAGTCCCATAAAGCTTGAGAATATGAACCTAAACATACATTATCAAATTTAGAGGCACAAAATCAAAACAGAACTGGTCACTGGAACTTAGAAGTTACTGCAAATCAACTTACTCATGAATACTCACTGTAAGTGCTTAGCCACAACTCAATTATGAAGTAATCTGAAAGCTAAAATCATTGTGGCAATTAATTGAACTGTATCAAATTAATCACATTTTTCCAAATGCCCACATTTTCCCTAGTACTTCCAATTACTCCCTTCAATTTTACTGAAAACATACAAAAGTTTCAGATGAATAGTCTTCGTTTTTCTTCAAAGACTGTAAAGCTGAGATTCCTCTATTTAATATTGTAGCAAATGAATCAGGCATGCAGGAATCCTGCTATCCTAACAACCTCAGCTGTATGTGCATAAGATCATTGACGAGAACACACTTGGGTTATCACTGCTCTTCGTGTAGAAACAAGAATGGTTTGCTGAAAAGACAGACTATTACCATACATAGCACACCACAACTTTAGTATTCTACAGAGTGGCAAAAAGGATACAAGCCCATTTTCAAAAGACTTGACTACCTTCTTGAGAACTTTCAGCTGCTCATCTTCCAAATCACTCTTAAATATAAGAATGGAAAGTAGCTTTTAATTGCAGTTTGCCTCAGAACATTAAATGATTATATTTGTCCCCTTTGATTTTAAATGAAAGTGGAAACCAGATTAAAAAGTCACAAGACACAATGAAAAGCGCTTTGCAAGAGGATTAAATTCTTCATCAAGCCACAAGCTCTAAATACAGAGTTTGTAACTAAAGAGACTTTAAAACTGCATCTCTTGTTCAAATGTGTGAGCTCTTTCTACTACATTCTTTGGAATTTTGTGAGAGCATACTACAAAAACCAAACCTATATTTCCCATGACATAAATGTGAATAAATGTAGCTATAAATTGCTTGGAATGGAGCTCTACCGCTGTTAGGAAACTGCCTGCAAATATGAAGTTAGAAATGGCTATGTCAGTTTGCCAGGGCACGCAGTATTCATTCCAGCTCTCCTGAGCACCTTCACACTGAGCAAGAGCACTGCAAATTGAGGCAGGCCAGAAAGTTATGTCAGGAGACTACAAGCCCAGAATCCTGAGGGCATTTCATCAGATACTCCATATTGCGTAGAGAAGCATCAAACTACACCATCCAGAATATTCTTCAGTCTGTAAGTTTATTCTGTGTCAAAAGGGAAATAAAAAGACATGGACTAGTTCTCAGTAGGACTTAAAAAGTGCTATAAAAGCACCAATCAGTTCTTATTTGAAGAATATAAATTATTAAGTTTTCAGATCAAAGTGACTAATGGCATAGTGACTTCAGCCTGTCAAATCTTTCTGCAAACACAAAAGACAGTCTGGTAGGCTATGAGATACTGTTCTCCTGTGTGCCCAGGAGGTTGTATTTGCTGTTGAATGCTGAACTTTGAATAATTATACTTCTGGATCACTAGCAGTTAACCTGGGGGTTTGGATAAATTTCTGACATACTTTCAGTAAGTCTGTATGTACTTCCATTTTTCAGGTATGGGCTTCAGCAGTCTAAAACTCCAGGTAAACCAGTAACTGTACATCTAGCTCCTGAGTGAGCATTTGTCTCTTTTGGAAAAGTGTCCCTGTAAAGATACACAGGGATATTTAACAGACAAAAAAAACTCATAGGTACAATTTTCCATTAAAATGTCTATCTTTAGAAGAAATGCTATAGCACAGCTAGCTCAGCTTTGTGCTCTGAAGCCCCAGCCACCAAAGCAGGTGGTTTCCTGGGGGCAGGTACAAACGTGGTTGTGTCAAATGCTTTTCTACACCTCGTTATTGCCAGTGCAGCAGAAACAACGTTCTCTCGGCCTTACTCACGGAGCTTGCATCTTCCAGCAGCTTGATGGTGCGGTTCAGATCCACCGGCCCCACCTGCGTCTCCTGGAAAAGTCACACTTCTTAGGCATGGCTGTTAGACCGCGCTTGCAAGGTGCTTAGACCCTAAATGTGCAAGCGCCACCTTATTCCAACAGCAAAAGACACGCGGACGCAGGATAACGTGCGTGCGGGGCCGGGCTCCGGGGAGCTCACCTGCACGGCGTCTGAGGCGGCCCTGCGCCGCTCTCCGCCGCAGCGAGAGGGACCGAGGGCCGGGGACAGCCCGGGGGAGCGGGCCGGGGAGCAAGAGTGTGCCCGTGAGCCGGGGGGCTTGGCCAGGGAGGCCATGGAGCCGGCTGCCACCCGTCCGCCGCAGCGCGGCCTCCGCTGTTGCCATGGAAGCGGAGCGGCTCCGCCTCCCGGCACCCGGGGTAAGGCCCGGCTGGGCGGCCCTGCGCCTATCAAAACAGGTGATAGAGGTACGGACAGATCAAAAGTCTTTGGCTGCAGGGGTGGCTGATATTAACATCGGCTTTCATTAACAAGTAATTTTTAACTCCTGTGGCAACAAAGAAATATTTGAGTATGGCAGTAGGTTTATTTAGAAGCTGTGGTAGCTGTTCAAATCTCCTGATGGTTTTTATAGGAAAAGAAATGAAAGATGAGAAGAAAAAGAAAGAAACCTTGATGACTCCAACTACAACCACAGCACTTCTTGCTCTCTCTTCCCAGCCTGCGTGCTACACCACACATATAATACCTGCCCTCTTCAGTAATATGTAATAAGTGTTTACTCCTCATGTATGCTATACAGCTCTCCTTCCATCACGGTGAAAATACTCAGCATAGCAGGTGAGAACTCCAAGCTAAATGCTTACAGGAAACTCAGTGACATCAGGCTGGTGGCCACCCACTAGTGGGGTTCCACAGACCTCCAGTTTGGGGCCAGTTCCCTTTAATGTTCTCATAAACAACTTGGATGAAGAGCTCAAAGGAATGCTAAGTAAGTCTGTGAGCAACACTAATTGTCACCAGTGTTTATAAATATCTCATCGCTGTTTATAAATATTTGAAGTGCGGGAGTCAAGTAGATGAAGCTAAACTTTTTGCAGTGGTGTTCAGCAACAGAAAATGGGGCAACGGGTAAAAACTTCAACACAGGAAGTTCCACGCAAACACAAGGAAAAAATTTGCTGCCAGAGTGACAGAGCACTGGAGCAGGCTGCGCAGAGAGGTTGTGGAGTCTCTTCTCTGGAGATATTCAAGACCCACCTGGATGCCTACTTGTGTGACCTAACGTAGAGCACCTGCTTCAGCAGGGGATTGGATTTGATTATTTCTTAGAGGTCCCTTTCAATCCCTACAGTTCTGTGATTCAGTGATTCTGTGAAAACAGGAGGTGTTGTTGATTCCTCTGAGGGTAGGAGAGATCTTGCAAAAAGATACTGGCAAACTGGAGAGCTGCACAATCACCAACTGCATGAAGTCTAACAAGAGCAAGTGTCCAATTGTGCTGCTAGGATGGGGCAACTCAGTGTATATACAGACGGAGGGACAAGAGGGTGGAGAGCAGCCCCATGGAAAAGGATCTGGGGCAGTTCTGGGGGAAAACATGAGACTGCAGTGTGCCCTGACAGCCAGAAGGTCCAGCCGTACCATGAGGTGCAGCAGGCCCAGCACTGCAAGTGGGTGAGGGGAGCGGTGGTCACCCTGGTCTGCATGGTCTCACCTCCAGCACTGGGTGCAATTTGGCTGCTACAATATAAGAAAGACATGAAACTGTTCCAAAGTGTCCAAAGGTGGGCTACAAAGATACTGAAAGTTCTAGAGAGGAAGATACAACAGGAGCAGCTGAGGTCCCTGAGTTTGCTCAGTCCAGAGCAGATGAGCTGAGGAGAGGCCTCATGGCAGCTGCAGCTCCTCACATGAGGCAGAGGGGCAGTGCTGAGCAACAGGGCCCAAGAGAATGGCATGGAGCTGTGTCAGGGAGGGGCAGCTGGGGTCAGGGAGAAGGGTCTGCACCAGAGGGCGGCGGGCATGGAACCGGCTGCCCAGGGCAGTGGTCACAGCCCCAAGCCACTGAGTTCAAGAAGCACTGGGACACAGGGTTTGGATTTTCAGTAATGCTGTGGAGCCAGAAGTTGGACTCTGATTCTTGTGCGTCCTCTTCTAACTAGCTGTATTTTATCATTCTGTAAATACCTCATGTACCTATCCACACTCTGTATTCCATAACAGTTTATCCTGAATACAACTTAAAATGACATCAAAAACACAACATAGCATAGAATGATAATTAAATTTGGAAAATGTAGTGACCACTTTAACATCCCAAATCTCACAAGCTGCATTCATAGCAACACAGATGATACATGGTGACAGGCTCTACTGGACACAGCAGTGCATTCACCTAAAATGACAACATAGCAAAGGTCCTGGAGCTACTGGTTGAAGCTTTTCCTCCACCCATTTACACATCTCTTTTTATCCATTTTACTAGCTGCTCCCTGTTTTACTTAAAAATTTGCTATTTTGAATGATTCTCAGCTGAGGTCTTAATATCTAGACCTGCAAGGGATGAAACAAGATTTATTTATTATTTGAAATTTATCACAATGATAATGCCTACAGGTCTGCAATTATACTTTTTTTTTTTTTTTTTTTTTTTTTTTTTGCATCATGCCCCTATACTTACTCAAGGTGTACATACTCAACCAATTTTAAGGCTCATGAAAAAAAAAAAGCTAAAATCTACATTTATTGTGGCTTAAATGATTCTAAGCTCTGTTGCTTTGAATGACAAGCATAGTAAGAATGTGACTAAATTGAGCAATGTAGTCTGTAAATTATAAGCTTTGGTCATGTGCCATTTATTGGCTGAGTGTTCCAAAGATTATACTGCAAATGTTCATTTGCTCACCGTGAAGCTTTCTCATAAATGAAGAACTTCAATAGAAGCTACACTATGCAAGTTTGACTTACAGGGATTCTGCTGCCTTCTGCAAACTGGCAAATGACCATTCTAAAAAGCCTGCAGTCAACTGTGAAAATATTTACTTAACAGTTTTCTACCTCAAACAACAGGCTTCCATTGTTTTTCATCACATCTGCTGTTTCCCTTGGGAACAAATAATATTTGAGACACAAAGACCTTAGTACCTTACTCCTGAGAGTACTAACTCCCAATTGTTAACAACTAAATCTTACAAATGCTAGAAAAAATATACTTTAAGAGTAAACATTTATATTTGTTTTAATTGAATACATTATTTTGTTGCAAAATTTCAGCAATTTTGTTTGTTGAGGTAGACTTCGATTACATTTGAATACACAGTCACATGGTTTTATGTATGGGATAGCTCTGCATTTGAAGATTAAAGCTTTGTACTTCGATCTGCCATCAACCTCCTGCTGACTTTGAGTTAATTATTTTCACACACAAACTTTATTTGCTCTTTCAAAAATTAAGTCCTAACTTTCTGAAGTAATATATTCTGCAAGCACACAACTTTGCTCTTGCTGCATTAAAGGGTCTTCTGCCATAGCCAAGTGATGTCCTTTTCTTGGCTGTACAGACCCGTAGGCTTTTTCAAAGCAATGCGTGCTGTGCACTGAATACAGCACCAGGCTCCTTACAGTACAGAAATGAGATTAAGAGTTCTTGTCTTTTTCAATCTTGTGTCTTGTTTTGACCAATACGATGAGGGAAAAGAAGGACAACAAGGAAATGCAGTATTGTACTGCCAGACTTCCTATGTTTGATATTCACAGAAGAAAAAGAACAACAAAACAACAAGCAAAGTGGTCGGCAGTTCTCAAATCTGTAAAGTCAACAAAACTTGAAGCATGTGAATTTACCTGCCTATCTATCACAATGCAGTGTTTAGGTCATCATGTGCTGTGGATTTGATGAGGCCCTCCATCTGATCAGTTATTAACAGGAAATGAAGAAAGTCACAGTAGACAGAACTTACATTTTTTCAGTTTTACTTGGACAAAGGTATAATTCAGGGTTCTCAGCTGCTAATATAGTATCAACACTCAGAAAAAACAAGCACTGTGATGTACAGAAACAGCAAAATTTTAAAGCAGCTCAGAAATGACAGATCTCTAGGACCAAAAAGTTATTTTTATGACAGGCAGGACACAGATATAAAACACTTTGATTTTTAAACGCATCTATATTCTGTTGCTGCTAGGGAATGGCTTTGAGAGTAAAGGAAAGCTATGCAAATTAATATGAAAATAATGTGAACTGTGATGGCTTCACTGACTTGTGAATCTTGATTTCTCTGCATTCAGAACTGTTTGTGCTGCTGAACCTCTACTCAAGCAGGGTTTCACCTCATATGTATTATCTTCCTCTTTCCTCTTATACTGGCATAGGGCTCCGAGGACAAAAAGGTACATACTTGGAAAGAGAACTGCAAAGTGGTTCACCTGTTTTTCTCATTTAAACAGTAACGCTTTCTCATGTGCACAGCCAAACATGAAGAACATCTCCCCCTGCCAAATCTCTTGTGTCAAAACTGAGACTGCTGGGCACATGTTTTTTGAACACCAAGTGGATCGAATAAATAATGATAGTACTACAGCATCTTTTTGTGTCCTGAAAAGATGAAGAGTACATTACAATCAGATAAGGGAAATGGTCCTGTAAATGTGTTGTAAAAGAAACTAATTACTCTTGAGAATTTTACTATGAATTTCCATTCAAGTTCTACTTCTTTGAAAACCTGTTAATCAGAGTACACATGTATTATAAAGGAAAGCAAACTGAGTTTTATTACGCATAAGCACAGAAGAGAAACCCAAATACGTGACATTAACTTTTTATTGATTTTTCTGTAAACCAGAGTCTATGGAAAAATAGGTAAAAGCATTTTATTAACATTTTATAATAGCCCTGTTCAGAGAGACAGCACAAAAAACCCCTGACAAACAACTACAAAGAGAATACCAGGAAAATACTGCATATGGGAGACAAACTACGTTCACTGTAAGACACTGCGAGCGAGGCATGAAAAGCAATATATAAAGATGACCATTCAGTTCTGTGTGTCACTTGTTACACAGGCAGCAATCTAATTCAAGCAGTATCATATAATGATACAATATCAGTACTGCAACTTTACTTATTTGTAGAAAATACTACCAAATGAACATCCATGACATCCAAACCCTGTGAAATGTACTATCTGAAAGGAACTATGCATGTGCATCTACGACCACTGCATAAATTCACTGTTACAGCTCAAACTATCACACTTAATTCTCAATCTAATCTTTATGCAGCTGATATATCTAACTTTAATTTTATAACATTCAGAGGAAAACCGTTTCCTAACTGTAGTCACACCTGTGAAATCTATATTCACTTGGGAATTTTTTGCCTTAGATTAACCAGTAATCTCCCTTAGTGCTAGTTGGGCAGCATGTATAGCTGATTGTATATAGATACACAATACCTCATTGCCAATTAATGCCAAATAAAAATACAAATGTATTTTCTTTCTCATGTTGGCACATCACATTATGCACAATGCTGGAACAAAATGTTAAAAGTGGCACCAATTCACAACAACTGTTACCACAAGCTACATACACAAACAACTTGCACAACTGAATTTCAAAATAATTAATCTCTAAATAATTCAAGACCATGAGGACTTAATTAACTTGTCCATAGTTGCTACAGTAAATGGAATTGTAATATAAAATTAAAGACAAATATGGGATCTGGAATAGAACTGCATTTTAAACAACATTAAGAAATACCTCACGTCCGTAAAAAACAAACATCCTGTTGCTAAATACATAGAGGTTTCTATTTTCTAGCATAATATGTAAAGCTTTGCATCATATATTAAAGCAATATTTTGTTTTTATTTAACTGTAATTAAGAGAAGTGAAAGGTTATTTTCACATTTGGCAGGGCATCCCTACAAGCAGTAAAGGATTCATATAATAAGGATTCATATAATGTTACAGAGAAAATATTTTTATAGCAGCCTGTTCCTCAAAATACATGTATATTCTCCTAAATAACTGAAGAATCTAAGTGATTTTATTAGAGTACATTTAGGCAACTGAAACCAAACTTTTAGCCTCGGGTGTCTTTCCAGTAACTCCTTACTCTAGTCCTCCCACAGAAACCAATGTAATTAATCACATGAATAGTTTCCTGATGTGACTGAACATATACATGTGTAATAAGTGCATGAGTGTCATTTTATTTTCAGATTTAGTATCTTATTAATTGGTCCTTACAATAAAGAACACTACACAAGATTAAATAACAAGTCATCTTATTCCAATTAGAAATAAATACATGGCCTAACTGGAAACTGTTATGTCATGTTATAACACAAATACTTAACAAAAATCTCTTCACATTTTGTCTAAAAATATCATCTATTTATTAATACTTCAGTATTTCAACCTTTCAAGTAAAATTAAACCACATTTTTGATTTTCAACACACGTACTTTGAAGAAAGGAAGAACACATTACTATTCCCTCCAGACACTTCTGTCATTTCAAAATTTAAGAGTTTTAACATTCCTGAAGAAGTCTAATGATGAAATAACTCTGCATAGGATAGAGGGCAAATACATTTCTGTATACACTGTGAGTGGCTGCATGATATATTACAACATATATTGACTTTGATGTAATGTTCAACTAGTACAGTATCTTACTTCTGCATCATTATCATTACTGAATCAGACAAGAATTAGATATGAATGATAATTATATATCCTGCAGAAATGTATAATTACTATAAATATGCTGCTGTTATTTTTAATTTGGAAATTGTCAACAATAATGGTTTCTAAATTTGTTCAAAGGTAGGAAATTCTACTTTCAGTTACACTGTTCAATCTTAGTGACTTTAATTAGGTTTCATGCACAGAACTGGGACAGAACATAGCACAGTAGTTATATCATTAAAATACAAAAAGTCTTGGAGAATTTTAATATCAAATCATGTGCTGTTTTCTCTAGCATGAAATTAATAACAAAGAGTTGAAATAGCTCTTACATAAACAATGCCATGGGTTTGTGAAGATTAACTGCCTTTCAGACAACTCACAAGCAAATATTCTGCAAACACCTGCACGTGTGAGTAATTAGAACCAAGAGAATAGTTGTGTCAGTTGAACTTTTTGTACTAATTCTGTAATTAAATTTATTCAAAGCAATGGAGCAAAACTGCCTACGCTTTATTCAGTTTGTCTGTAATAATGGAATAAAAAAACACTGGCTAGGAAATTCAGTTACAGGTTACTCTGCAAGCCTTCCAAAAATATACAGCTTTCTGTAACTGAAATGCATTTACACACAGGCAAAGTAAGTTAGCGGTTGTAAATGACATTTGTTCTCCATTTTTATGAGAAAATGGGATTCCTATTAGCTTAGGCTCCTGTCTATATGCAGTAACTACAGTTTTTCTGCTTAATATCTGGTTTGATAAAACAGTATTGGGCTCACGTATCGCATTTGTCACTGAAATAGCTGCATACAGGAAATGGAACAGTAACATTACTACCTTGGTGGACACGCCTGGAATTAAAATGATCCAGCTGTCTCTTGATTTGCAACAAACCCTGAACATACACAGATTTGATGTTTGGAGAATACAGGTACTACAATCAAAATAAAACTGTAGTATATTTTTGAGTTTGAAATGAAATTAAAAACAACTAACAACACTTCAGATTTAGGCTGGTGTAACTGGGAGTAGCATTTGATCCTAGATTCTGTTTCTGTGGAGCTGTTGGTTTCATTGCAGAAGTACTGAGATTCAAAGGATTGATGATATTTAAGGATAAATTCAACTTCTTTCTGACAGGTATCATATTGATGACAAATGCTTGCAAAGAAATAATAAGTGAAGACTCAGCTAAGAAACTTAGAGATCCAGTGCAAAAATAGTTAAGAAAAATATAATTTCATATATCCAAGGAAAATTTGGATCAATTCTCATTTGTTAAAATAAAGGTTTTGCTAATTAAGAGTAGACTGAAGGTACATAAATTGGGTTTAGCTATTTTGTTAGAGTAATACCTGACAAAGTAATAGTAATAAATCATTTTGAATGTTTTTCTGAATCCCACAGAAAACACAAATGTCAAGTCTTAGAGGAAAAGTTTCATTTTTAAGTTTGAGAATAATCATTTTCTTTCTCAAAAATTCAGGCATATCCCAGAAACATCTGTTCTAAAAGTAAGATTATATATAAAAATAGAAGATTGTATTTACACAAGATGATACTAAGATAGATTGTGGGACATTCATATGTAACTGAAACTCCAATGTAAAAACATATAGAACATGAGTAATGTGGTGCTTCCTTGTTGTACTAACATACTGGAAGTTTCACAGAGAAAGTGGATTTTTATTGTTGCAGATTTATCAGTATTTTTGTTTTAAAATATTTTCTGGTATTTTAAAATAATTATTCCATCGAGAAATAGTTGCTTGCATACATATCTGCAAGTCCTCCTACTCGTGCATAATAATGCTTTGGTGACTCATATGACATACAGAAAGAGATGCTAAGGTTTAAAATTCCATGCGATTCTCTTTAAAAAAGTCCCATAAGGTACAATACTGTCTGCTTACAAGATGCATAATTAGGCCACATCTGAAACTGGTTTTGCATATTTAAATCATGGAATATTTGAAAACCACAAAAATGAATACACTGTACATGTGCAACATGTTACAAATTAATTTCAGTTGCTTCAAAATCTGGATGCTTCCTAAATTATTAACTCTATATTCTCAATATTAACTCAATATTCTGAACTCAGTAACCCAGAAGTGTGGTTTAAATGACAGATGTGGTAAAGTACGGTATTAAGACATAGCACTCTGACACACTAAGTCAAAGAAATATCTCACAAGCATTGTTACAACAAAATACTGTTGTGATACAATTGTGCAAAGGAGCATTAAAATAAATCTGATTTCATGATTATCTGCCCTCTGTAATTCAAAACAAAGTATTTTTGTAGATATCCAAAATAGCAATTTCCTAGTTATCAATTTCTCATAAATCCACTGAGGGCTTGTATGTATGCCAAGCAAGTCCACACTGATTTACACATACATTACATAAACTCCTGAAAATACAAGACAAAAAAAAACACAACGAGGAAAACCCAAACATCTTCAGTAGTACTAACAAAATGTAGTCCACCATCACATCACAGTTATTCTTTCTGGAGAGAAATGTGGAATGGACCCACTTGTTTCTTCTATTGCATGGCTTTTCTCCCATCCTCTTCTAATTCTCCTTAGTTTCCTACTTACACATGGCAGAAGTAAAATGATCTTACCTAGAACTACAATGGAAGGCAGAACAAGGGCAAGAACAAAATTTGGTGGTGTGTAAAACCTGTAACATTCTTCTTCAAAAGCTCTTTTCCATCCATAAATCAGTACGTGGAAAGTACTTATGAGCAGAGCAACATATCCAAGTGTAGACTTGAAAAAAAGAGAAACCAGGGAAAAAAGATGAGAAAACAGTACTTGGTTCTTCATCAGATTAAGTCTAACCCATTGTTTCAATATTTCTTTCAGACATTGCATTAAAAGGTCATACCTACGTATTAGTTCAAAGTACCATTATGTGGTTTTAAGTTCACATTCTGAAAACTACAGACAGAACTAAACACCGATTTAAAGCACTAGTATCTATATGCTAGGGCCTATGTAAGCAAACCACAAGACATGAACTTAAGTAACAATCTCAGCAAAGTTACTGGAACAACATCAGTTGGCTTTACAATTAATTTCTGAATATGTTTTCCCAGCTATAAAGGTAGATTGTATCAAGAGTCATACTTATTATGGAATCAGAGCCATTTTGCTGGAACAGATCTGAGTTTATCAACTGAAATTTTTTTTGCTTCAAGAGGTGTAATTTGCTTCTTCCTAATGATGACCTTCATTGCAACAACCTACACACACTTATTTGAAGTTAGCATAAACCATTCCTTACCCTCCCCCATCCACTGGTTAATGAGAAGGAATATCGACACTACAGGATTTGTGTAGAATGGCACAAAGTAACAACGCAGTTCATAAACAAGCAGTGCTGGATTTAATGTTAAAAAGAAGGTTCCCACAATACCCCGCAAAGGACTTCATCATGTAATCTACAGCAAGCTGCAGAAGGTACCATATCCACGGGTGGACTTGATGATCCCACTAGGTCCTCTCCAACTTGGGATATCCTGTGGTTTTCTGACTTGATGTCCTTTTTAGTGACAGGTATTAGTACTGCTCTGCAGGCTTGAGTTAAAGGTCTTAAGTTTGTCTTTCCCAAAACACTGCTAAAAGACTACTACACTTTGACTTCTGGGGGTGGACAAATAATGAAAAACTTTTATCTTCTAAACTGTTGTAATTTGGTTGAGAAACATTTGTAGAAAGTCGCTAAAACAAAGAATGTGTATTAACTGGATAGTGGGCTTTGTTTTAACTTCAGTAAAGAAAGAAGCAGACAATCTTTCTGTCCTAAGAAAAAAGTAGCCTGGGTCTACTAAAAGCGTCTGTAATAGTGAAAGAATCATTGAATCATAAAAATTTAGAATGGCTTGGAACAGAAGGGATCTTTACATCATCCAGTCCCAACCCCCTGCTACAGGCAGTAACACCTCCCTCTAGATCAGGTTGCTTAAAGTCCCATCCAGCCTGGCCTTGAATGCTTCCAGGGCAGGGGCACTCACTTCCTGGGCAACCTGTTCCAGAGTCTCACCACCCTCACAGTAAATTGCTGCTTCTGAATACGTACTCCAAATCTACCCTCTTCCAGCTTAAAACCATTTCCCCATGCCCTGTTACTGCATGCCCTTATGGAAAGTCCCTCTCCAGCTTTCCTATAGCAGGAAGTTTTCTACGTCAAGATTAACCAGTTTCTAGGGACAGAGGAAGGTGTGAACTAATTAATAACATTTATAAGGATTAACTCCTATAAAAAGGGAAATACTGCAGATCAATACCATGGTTTAACTTGCCAATATGTATATACATATTGGCATATACATATATATAGATATATCTGTATGCAATGGTCAAAAGAGAAGCTAGTAAATAACAGTAAAATGTTAAAAACAGGACAAGAAAAGTGTTACGCATCTCTACTCAGAGATTTTTTTTACCTGCAGAAAATTGCTATATGCTTCTTTGGTGTTGCTAGGGCATACACTAGTAGTATATATCGGTCCATTAGAATCACTCATCTAATAATCTGATTCCAAAGACAATTCTAGAAGGGTTTGTCAACTACTGACAGTGTTTTCTTCCATTAGGCTTTTAATTGCCTCTGTCGCTGTGTTTCAGTACTTAACTAGAAGGAAGATGTTCCTTATACAACCTAGCATTTTGCAGGCTTTTTTCTTTGTACGACAGGTCTGTCACAGCTAAAGTTCCATCAAGAGCACTTATCCTAGTTTGCAGTTATTAACTTTTCCAGATGCACAGGTGTACAATTAAGAAATGTACAGTTAGAAGAGTGGTGTGGTTAGGATGGTATTTTACAGGTCTATAGTTAGAAAAATTATTGTGGTGGAAAGAGACAATCGAAAATGAAATGCTCACCCACGTCATAGGCTTGCAGTAAAAAACTCCAAATAGAAGGATCTCCAGAAAAAGATCCTTCCCCAGTGGCAGTCAGCCCTAAATGGGGTCTAGGAGAGGTGCAGCCAGGCTCCACCCCTTCTGGTCACACAAGGGAACTGCCTTCACCTATGCTCCCATGGCTGACTCAGTGCTTTCCCCAGGTGATCAGTCAGTGGTTCAGACCATAACTCAATAGTTCTCATACAACAGGAAGAACTAGCTGCCTTTGCAAATTGAGTAAAAGCTCACTATAAGGGGTTGATCTTGGCTGGGAGGCACAGGATGCTAACATCTTTAAGAGTAGAAGACATTTGAAAGCAGCAAAAAGAGATACTTTTCCTTGACTGGAATCACATTGGTGAGTAGTAGCAATACCAGTTGAAAATGCTGGAAATGTTCTTCCCAGGCTCTAGTACGGTTGCTGGGAATAGTTTTAGGAATGGTTCTTAAGGAATTTTTGGAGCTGCTGTCACTTGTGTTGTGAAATCAGGTGAGATAAGATGGAAGCATCTCTAAAATAATTTGGGATATCAAAGACAACCATGATTTCTGGACAACAACATTCACTACTGGGGATTCTCTATGGTGTTAGAAACACTGCAGTAAAGGTCTGTACCACTGTACATAGGATGATGCTATTCGGAGCTTGTTCTACTGCAGTAGGGTTAGAAAACTAACTGGGCTTGTGTATGTAAATAACTTGCTAATTCTAAACTCAGATTCTGCCAGCAGACATTAGAACTGAGTGCATTTTAGTGGTAGTGCTCCCTAGAGGAAGTCATGCTCTTATTTTGATCAAACTGTACCTTCTGAGATGAGCAATCAATAATGTGTTGCTCTTTGAGAAATGCTGAGGTGAGAAACTGACTGGGTGTGCTGACTGCCTGCCTGACTCTTCATCCATGAGATACGAAACAGAGATTGAACAAGTATTTTGGCAGATTACCTCAGGAATCAGGACTAAAGGCAAAGACATGCTGATTTCCCCAGCTAAAAGGAGAGCAATGCTGAGATGACAGGCTGTAGTTTCGATGCTCATTCCACTAACTTAGGGAAATACAAACTCGCAAACAACTTTTACTTTAGTGTGGGGATCACTGAAAGCCTTTTTTCTGATTGAATAAATTAAATGACTTTTTCAAAGGAATAGTGACTACCTGAAGACTAACTTACATCCTGAGATTACTGAAAAATTGAAGTACCACATAATGATCATGAACTTTAAAGAAATTTTAGTATTTCAATTTCTTATGTGCAATTAAAAATGGCAAATGATCATAAATAGTTATCTATACTAATTCTCTTTAGCATGCAATACAGAACCAACTATAACAACCCTCCAGAGAGAACAACTTGTTCCCAATTTGTCAAAACACCAAGAGATAATTTGCAAAAGTTCATAATTAAAAATTGAATTATTTTGCCTTTAATTACAGTGCAAATAACTACAGAAAATACGATACAAACAAAAACACCTTTGTAGGCATGTGAATATGTATGCGTTGTCTGGATTTTGAGTAAATCACACAAGCCTGAGATCTGGAAATCTGTGAAAGAAAAAATTAGATACAAATTCTGGGTGTGTGGCTGAAAGTCATGACCTTGCGACCAAATATGCAGTACTGTTATCTGCAGATAGAGAACTCTGGATGGCAGGAATGTTTGAACAGTACAAAATGAGCATTTACTTCTTGTGAAGGCTCAAAATGGTGAGTGAGAATGAACAGGTCAGTTTGGGGAATGATACTTAGACAAATCTTTCAGCAAAATTTTTGTGCTTTGCTACATACATAAGATCTCTTACAATTACAGCCAAAAAAGCATTCCTCAGCACTCCATTTCAGATGTTTGTAAATTATGAAATGCAACTCAATACCCAAACAGCAAAGCAGATGCAGTGTAGGTAGGAATTAGTCAACAATTTCATTGCAGTCGTGTACAAACAATGAATATATGGGTGTGCAGTCTGTGCTACTTTATCTAATTAGAACTTAGAAATAAATCCTAACAGTGGAAAAGGAATTTATAGATTTACCCTCATTTGGTCTTGTCTGTGTTGATCCTTCAATGCCAACATCAATAAAAGGCAAATCCCTATTATGATACCTATAAAATGCTGAACTTGCCTACATGCTGATCTATTTGCTGAGTACAGATATGTTGCTCTTATTAACTTATGAGATAGAAAAAACAACATACTCTGATCACGTTGCGAAGTGCTTTTTGTAACATAATAATTATCATTAGAAAGAAATTCATGTTAACAACAAAAATCTATTACTTTGAGAAGAACACACCTGAATAAAACTGAACTCCCTCCAGTTTAAGGCATTGTTGACTGAAGGGATAGAAGTTACTGCCAGCAAAGAAAGCAACCCAAGACTCATTATTCCAAAGGAGAGATACATTTCAATTCGCCACACTTCTTCTTCATTCCAAGAATTTTCAACATTTGCATGAACCTGATGAAGGAGCAGAAAGGAAGCACTTCATTCTCCAGAATGTTAAAAGCATCAACAGAAATTATTTTGCTGAGTAAATGTCTACAGTAATAGAACAATTATAAAACGGGGTCAAATATTTCAGAGGTTTCCTCATGCCTTGGAGAAAAAACAATTTCCTTACTGTTGCTATTGGCTCTTGATAGATTAAAAATATGTTATGCAGGAAAACTAGATGAGCTGGTAAAATAAAACATCACATTACAATAATTATTTTATAAATACAAGCAGTTCTACATTTCTCTATAGTGTATAAGCATACTCTATACTGCAGAAAAGTAATCATATTCTTCAGACCTTGGAAACATATCTTCTATAGCATAAACTGGATGAATCCACAGTGTTTTAGTTCTTTACACTTGGAAACAATTTAGCATCATTTTCTCTTAGTGCTTTAGCTCCTTATACAAAAGCCAAAGTGTTTTGCCACTTTCACTGTTGATATTAAATGCATTTGAAAATGTTCTAGTTGGAGAACTTTACCAGAAAAAAGAAACAGCTCAGGTCCTTAAAAGTTAAGCTGCCTAGATATTCAATTATTTTTTCCATTTTAAGATAACCATAGTGATTTGATGTGTCTTAGAAGAGGTCCACTATGAACGTTAGCAAGTGAGATTTTTACAGAACTATTAGAAATGAGACAAACTATTAGTAAAAATATCGTAGATCCTTTACTACATAGGAACAATTACAATTCCTTGCTGTTTTTCATAGTTTTATTTTTTCTGCCTTTCTCTGAAGCTCAATTTCTCACTTCTTTTAGAATCTGTGGACCCAATCTGCTTTTGTTCTGTTACTAGGATTTGATTTCTTTAATTTTTCTTTCTGTTCAATTTCATCTGTCTTTCCAGCAGATTTTATATGCTGAATGGCAACGCTGTTCTCCTGCCACTTTAAAGGTGGCAATAAGCTGACAGACAAAGCAGCAGCTCTTCTAAAGGATTATGGGTTTGTCAGAGACTGTTTCAAGGTTATATGCAAGACCAGCTATCATTCCTGGGAACTGTGAGTCAATCTCTTGCCTGTAATAGGTGACATTCACAGAATTTCTACTGTCCATAATATTTTTACCACAGGTCCAAAAAGTTACAAAGTATCAGAACTTTCACTGCAAAAATACATTGTATTTATGAATATTATCATAATAATATCTACTCTAAGTACTTTCCCACATTTGTAAATGCACTTTACACCACATACATACATCTCCTGCATCTCAAAAACACACAAAGAGAAACTTACCTCAGAAGTTTTCTTTGGTGTTGCTCTTATCCTGTCTAACCTACATCCTCATTGCACATATTGCTGCCAAAGATTTAAGTAGAATATATCCTTGATTCAACCTATTATACATACGTGAACACAACCTGACATAATGTACACAGGTGTTTCTTTTACTCTCCCTTCTTACTAAGCATTACCTATGCATAAAATAATCCTAAAGATTTTTGACTGAAAACAATGGAAAAGATGCACAAAACATGCATTTTGTATTAATGTATCACATATGCAACCAAGGCACTTTTGGCTTACTTAGCTAAGGATCAGCATACCTGTTGATACGCCATATTGAGGAACAAGTATCGCTCTGATCTCCTCATAGGTAAGCAAAGGCTGTATGCCACGTGCACCACTGCAAAGAAAAAGCTGAGCAGTCCAAGCTGCTTTCGACACTGCAGCCAGTTGTCCAGCCAAGGTGGAAATCGCCTGTACTTAGTGCCGTAGTAAAGCTGGTAAGAGGCTGCAATAAGTCCTGACAAATACACTAGAGAGAGCAACGTGATGGCAACAACTGGTAGAGTCTTATTGACAATCTCAATGGGGATCTTGTAAAAGTCACTCTGTTGATTTCTCACATATGGATGGATTACGTCTCTGATGAAGGAATAAATGAAGAAAAATGTTGCCAGACTAATGGCAATCACTACAGGCCCCTTCCACAGTGTGAAGAGTCGCAGAGGTAAGTTTTCAATCTCTCTTGAAGATGACAATGCCCCCAAATCAATAGGAATAAAACCGAGCTGACGAGCAAGCTCAGTAACTTGATGGCGAGCCTGAACATTGTTACTGCATATATAGACCTGTTGGAAAAGTCAGGTGAATTGTAGACGCAGGAAGACTTACAGGTTAAAAACAAACTCAACAAAACAGAAACAAAAAACCCAAATACAAAACAAAACAAAAAAAACTCAACTATTAAACAGCAACAACCCCTTCACCCCCTGCCCCAACTGAAGAGCCTCCAGTGCTCCAGTGCAAAACTGCAGCACTACTGCTTACATCACTTTGACAGATTGTATCACCGTTAGAAGAAATATTGAATAAAAACAACACTATGCACAAATCCACCAAAGGTAAAAATATGCACGCTTATTTAGCCACAGAGCAACCAAAATAAAATTGGCATTTGCTTGAAGTTGACAGTGAGGTGACTGTGGCACGTACAGGTAATCCACACACTGAAATGTCTCATACTCCCCACACTGAAATGCCCATAGGAATGGACTGAACCTGAAACAATGGCTACAGTAATTTCCAAACCTTGAGTTTCTCAAATGTACACTTATCTTAAATGATGACCCCAAAACAGCTGCAGGACAAACACAATGCAAAGCAGAGAACGGTGTAATCTCTATGTAAGAATGTTTCCAATCATCTGTATTACAGAAAGCATGATGAGGTTTGACAGAAGTCAATGACTTACAGTGGCCTGCTACTCCAAAAAGGAACAAAAATAGTGCAATGAGATTATTTATAAAATTATGCTAATTCAGTATTTATTGCAACTACTTAAAATTTGCTTGAAGTGCCAGAGAACTCAGTAGTCTCCAGCAGTCATGTTACACTCACCACTTGTCATGTAACCCTTGTAGCCCACAAAGCTGTGAAGGACTGGGCTCATGCATGTCTTTATATTGCTTCAGCAAAGCAAGAAAAACATACAGCTGTACCTTCTGTATGCAGGATGGATTTGGGGAATACACCGGGAAGTAAATTGAACATGATGTTCCCAAGCAATTCTGGATCAAATGAATGATTACTTTGAAACATATGTGCCTCCATCTGTTTCCTCATATTTATGATCTTGGGATATTCCAGAAGCCAAATAATGGGTTATATTCTCTCTGTGGTTACACTGAATGCAAGCAATTCTAGAAGAGCTGGCATTTCTGACTCCCAAACCTTGGGGTCGGGACCTCAGATTTCTGTGCATCTCTTTCAACAGTTCACCCCACAAAAAACAACATTTAAACTAAAATAAACTGGGAAAAAGTGTCTTCATCTTTTGAAGCACTAAAATATAAATCAACATATTTCCTACAGAAAACTTTAGGATCCTACTCTTCTTATTGTAGTCAATGAAATGTCAGCTAGTTGATCTAAGCTAGTACCTACATTCCTCTGCAATCCTTAAAGACACACAGGCACCCTAGAGCACAGTTTGGATCATTTATTCTGTACGATTGTCTTTTCATCTTACAAACAAGTCAAATAAAAACAAACACAATGTTTACCTGTCTGCTGGCATCCTTTGGTCCTAACTGGAGTGACCAAGCTGAAACAACATTGAATCCTTTGACAACTAGAGAATCTGGGAAAAGTGATGCCAAATACTCTGCATTGGAGTCTGGATATTGGTCTACTCTTGTATTGTTGCTGACATCAACCAGAATTTTACCAACGAGTAAATGCTTGAGGTCCCACAAAGACGTGTAGTGTTCTCTATGAATAGCTACAAAAATGAGGTTTGTTTTTGTTACTGCATCTTCATGGTGAGTGACATCAACCACGTGGGGAAAGAACTCTGCAGCAAGTTTAGGGTTTCTGCTTCCTACAACAACATGGTACCCACATCTGATCAGCCGAATGGTCAATGATTTTGCGAAGTCTCCACTTCCAATGATGCCTACTGTGATCTTACTGGCATCCTTGATGCCATTGGCCACGTTTGGTAGAAAAGTTTCATTGAGGTTCTTAGGGCTTCCCATCATAGAGATTGATTCCATAATTCTAAGACACCAAACTTATGATGACTTTTTCTGGAAAAAAAGCAGAGAAAGCAAGAGAAGGAAAAAAAGCTGCATCAGACTTTTTCACAAGCCATCACAATCCACAAACAACTCTGAAGCAAATTCTGTGGTTCTAATTTTCAGATTTTATCTTTTGTTTCATGAAGCATGCAGAAAAACAAACTTTTTTTCTGGCACTGTGTCACTAATCCAAGGAAGAACACAAAAACTTCAAATGTTTTACTAACAGTTACAGAAGTAGGTAAAAACAAATAAGAAAAAGTATATGCAAGGAAGTACACACATTTTTTAAATCATTCAAGTTAAAATCAGCCACAGAGATGCACAACTGCTTTTCCAAGTTAAAGAATACATAATGCAGAAGGATTTAGTGACTCCAAACATTTGTACAGAGACAGTGAAGTCAGAGATTAATGAACAAAGACAAAAATGAGGGCAACAAGTTAGATTTCTTCATTATAGAGTGCAATCTATTAAACAGCGTATAACTCTTGGCTTCCGTTCCAAAACCCACATTTATTACACACATGTACCACACTCTGTCCAAAGATAAAAATCTGATTTAGAGGGACTTTAGTGTGGGAATCCTGATCTTAGATATACTGCACCTTAGTTCTGCTGTCTATAAATCTAAGATGATAATTCGTTTAGTTTTGAAAGGGGATTGTGATGAGAGGTACACATTCTGGTCATCTGCATTACAGCAAACATGATCAGTTTTGACAGAAGTCAATTACTTACAGTGCAGATCTATTCTGAAAGAGGATAAAAATACTGCAGTGATGTTCATATACAGTTTTAAAAAACGACTGCAACGAGAGCTACACATTTAAAAAGCCCAAACTGCATACAACACATGCTATTTTTGTGGTAAATGACTGTTTATATGGATGGACAGTGATAGGAAATGGTTTTAAACTGAGACAGGGAGGTTTAGGTTAGATCTTAGGAGGAAGTTTTTCACCCAGAGGGTGGTGATGCACTGGAACAGGTTGCCCAAGGAGGTTGTGGATGCCCCATCCCTGGAGGCATTCAAGGCCAGGCTGGATGTGGCTCTGGGCAGCCTGGTCTGATGGCTGGTGATCCTGCACATAGCAGGGGGGTTGGAACTGGATAATCATTGTGGTCCTTTTCAACTCATGCCATTTTATGATTCTATAACGTTTCTTAGTTTGTCATGATGAATCTCACAACAGTTTTCAAAACCGTATCTCAACTCCTTTTTGGGGGGAACCCAATAAAGGTTATGTGAAAGACAAGAGGGTGAAATAATTGCGGTACAAAGATCAATAATTCTGTCAGCACACAGAAACCCTTACATTTGAACAGCTTTGTATGAAAGCACGTATATATTGACAAAGAGAATTAAGACTTACTAATCTAAAAGCAAGAGTTTAATTTAGCTCAGTTTGACTATTTGAATTGAAAGCCTTTGAAGAGGGAAATATCTACATACCCATTTCTGATCCAGGGTGCATTTCAGGTTAAGGATGGAGTGACCTTACATGACACATGTTTCAATCAGAAAGTACTGCTGTGAGGTTCAGACATAATACCGCATCATCTATGACCTTCAACTTCAGATGGAGGAAAAAAATGGAACTCTCAGACAGTGGAGAGTAACATTTTCCAAGGCTGACTACTGGATTCAATACTAAATGTCTCCGAGCTCCTTTGCCACAACATTCAGCAGACAATCTGCAAGCTCTGTGTCACATTACAGCCTGCCTGAGTTTTGAGCATTATACGACCACATGAAAAAAACAAATACCTTAACAATCCCCCTCCTATTCAGAAACAAAGCTTGTTTCTCCTTTGCCCATTTAGTATGTATATTAATTAGGAATAAGGACCTTCCAAAGCCTTTTATTCCTGGCTGCTGCAGACATAAGGAAACAAGAAGTACATTCTTCTCCTAAGAATAATACATACTGTGTATATTTCCATCCAGCTGTAGGAACTTATCGAAGTTACATTTATGGAGACAAGAAATATTTTTTTGTACTACTAAGCACAGCACTCTGACTTGTTGACTAACATCTGTAATGATGTCACTGCTTTCCCATAGATAAAGATGGATCTGGATAGTATATATATATATACACTATTTCTAATAGTAGAAAATAGTATTTTCAGCTTCAGCTGCCTCAAATTATTGAACCTCAAAACCACCTTGTGCTTCCAAAATGAATGGTCAATGAAATACTGAGAATAAGCATATAAAGAAAACTGGGGAACTATATAAAATATTAGGGGGTGGAGATAGCTGGCTTGAGACTGGCATAAGGACAGTGAGTCCACAAAAGCTGGACTTGATTAAAAGATTATGCTGATTTTTATTATGGTATTCTACTCTGGTTAGGAACAAAAAAAACCAACAAACCTGCAGAATGCAAAAAAAACCTGCAAAACTGCAGAAAAAAGGCTGCAGAATGTTACAACAACCACCATGACACAGACATCTGCCTGACTTACTCACTTTTCAGTCTGGGGAACAAGCTGCCTGCACGTATCCAATGGCAAGAAAAATAAAGAGAAATTTCCCAAGGCTTATTCATGAGATCAACAATGACACAGCTAGGTCAGGCTACCAGATCTGGCCATGTATAGTTTAACCACAACTGGTGCAAGGGTAAGGGATTCAAGGACACAGGTCAGGAATATGCCTAACTGAATTTTCTGACTGGACAGAGAATATAAAGCCTGGAGAAAAGCAAACGAGATGCATTCCACACAAAGTTAATGGCAAAGAGAAACAGATTTCACACAATAGCAAAAGATTAGAAAGTCTTAGGACTTAAGTTTATCATTGCAGTAAGAGAGGCTTTGCAGAGGAACAGAGGCAAAGGCTCACAGAAAATTGAGATTGCTATAATTTTGGAGAAAAGAGGTTAAAAGATTCAGTAAAGCTGTAACAAATGCCAAAAAAAAAAGGAAAAAAGAAAAGAAGATGTAAGAAAGCCACAAAACAACCCTCAGGAAAGAAGCATTCACATGAAACCGCAGTTGTGACTTAAGTGGTGTCTAAATTCTAGAACAGGAATAAGCTCTGAGAATTAATGAAGGAATAAGGAAAGGCACATTAAGAAGGAGTAAAGGGAAAACATCAAGTTGCTTCTCTCCTGGGAGCTATCAACAACAGACCACACATAAAGGAGAATGAAGCTCTTTCTGAGCACCTGTACAAGATGCCAGTAACCAGTGAGGGACTTCACCCTCCCATCTGCTAGGAACACAGCGATGTCCTACAACCAAAAGAAACTGTTCTTCACAGGTCTAGAGGAAGCTATTAGGAGAACATACTTTAGAAGGCATTTCCCAGTTTTTGACTAAGGGGAGAAACTCACTGAAATTGTACTGAGGTTCTAAAGATGAAAAATAATAAGTTAAAGTGACCACAAAATCCATATTCTACAGTAAGATTCTAATAGTGAAACTTTCTGCTAGAGCTCATTAATTTTTACACACAGAAAAACCATTGATATCTTTCTTGCTGCACAAACAGAGCTGTATCCAACGCATGACCAAAACACCAGCATTTCCTGTATCCTGTTGGGTTCACATCCAGGAAAATAATAAGAGCTGTACTCTGATCAGCTGAGAGATATACATCAACTAGTTATGACAAAAAATGTATGCATTCATTGTATGATTACACAGGTCCATTTCAGTTCATGCCATGTGATGTGAAGGTAACCACAAAATTTACAGAATATATACTGTGAAACTTAAAGGAATAGAAATGGAACTGCCATGAGAAAATGGGCAATGAGTACTATTCCGCCATACTGCAGCCCACTTCCAGTTTTTGTCTAAAAATCCATGAGAGGGGATATCAAGGATTAGGACATGAAGAATTGCTCTGCTGAGCTGGATTTGGCACACTGTCCAGTTTCTCATCACCTGTTCTAAGGAAAACAGAATGTGAGGAATGGAATAAACTAACAGAATTTATGTTTTCATGGAAAATAACCCTACGGAACAGACAGGTGTGACTCTTGGGCTCTGCGAGATGATAGAAACCAGAGCTGGAAGTCATGAGAAGGGACTATACTCAATGCACGATAGCAGTTCAGAGGTAAGAGTGTGTAAGACTGAAATTAATCTTGCAGGAAGGCAGGAGGTGAAGAATTTAAAAGATAAAGATAAGATAAAGATTTTCAAGTCAGCAGACACTTGTGAAATCCAGCCTTGATGCCTGAAGAGCTGACAGAAGCAATGTCTTCAGAATGCAGAAGGGACATGTACATATCTTAGAAGAGGAAAAGAGGAGAACTGAGGGAAGCAAAAACTTGTTAGCTTAACTGCAGTCTCTGGAAAGATTTACAGCAAGTTGTTGAGCAATCAACTTGTAAACAGATGGGAAGCTGATAAATACTAGCTAATCTGGGTTGTTCAGGAATGGAATGCAAAAAAACCCATCTTTTACAAAACGACTGCCTTTGTGGATACAAGAAACAGCAGGAGTGATAGAAATTTGACGTTTGGCCTTGGATAAGCCTAAGAAAACACGACAGAGCTACACCAGCTAGAAGGGGACAGCTGTGAAGAACCGCTCTGAGAAGCGTAATCCCTTAAGGAGAAAAACGAACAAACGGAAAACCTGAACGAGTTGTTGATGTGATCAAGTGCGTTCTGCACCGCTCTCGGGACAGCGGTGTAACGCGGAGCCCGGGGACAGCTGCAGCGACCGGCCCGCGCCGGCCGGGAGGGCACTTACGCTGCGGCATCTCGGGCGCGGAGCGGCGGCTGCGGGGCGGCCGTCCGGCTCAGGTGAGCGCATCGCAGCGCGGGGCGCACGGCGGGCCGTAACGACAGCGCCGCCCGTGACGAGAGCGGCGACTCCGAAGCCCCTCGCTTCCAAACCTCCGCCCCGGCCGCCTCCATACCCGGGCGTCCCGGGCCCCGGCAGGCAGGCCCGGACGCCGGGCCGACCCTCAGCCCCCGCACCGGCTCCGGGGAGCCCGTCACCGCCAGGCCCGCGGGAGCCCGCCCAGACGTGTGGGCAGAGAGGAGCCCCACCGGGGCGGCGGTGGGAACGGCCAGCCCGAGGAGACGTCCGGCGGGGTCGCGGCCCACTCCCGCGTCGGCCCCGCTCACCTCCTCCCGCGCGTCGGAGGAGCGGCGCCTCCGCTCCGGCTCTTCAGTCTCCAGCCCCGCAGTGCCGGGCGGGCGGGAAGGCGGCGCCTCCACGCGCTGCATCCCGCCCCCTGCGGCCGCTGCCTCGGCGCTACGGCCGGGCGGGGAGCGAACGGCGGCGCTTCGTGCGTGGGGCCGGGGACGGCCAGGGGGCGCGAGATGCCCGCGTCTGTCCCCGCCGGTGGGGGGAGGTGGCCGTGTGCCCGCCGTGGCGTAGCGGCGAGGTGACGGACGCGATCGGCTGCGTAAACGCGAGGCCCGGGTTTGTTAGCTGAGGAAATTTCCAGTTGAAGGCAAATGCAGCTTTACTCTGAACTGCTGTACGTTGTTGTCGTCTCGGCAAAAGGCCGGCACGTGCACAGACGCAGTCATACCCCTTCTGCCGTCCTGTGTGCGGGCGCTGCCTGACCGTGTAGTCGTGATGGGACGTATAAACCGTTCAAACATTTGTTTCAATAAATGGTCGCTAACAAACACGCTGCTGAATTGGAAATGGGCAGAGGAACCTTTTAATTGTAGTTCAGAAGCCACTCTCCTCCACAGACATTTTATGTTTCCCTGACACTGAAAATGTGTATTTTTGAAGTGTTTCTTATTCTGGTTAAAACACGCACAGAAAACCTATTGCCTGGTTTTCCAAACAGTAATTCCAGCTCCCAGGCTGAGGACTGGTTCCATACTCCGTGGAAATCAATGGAAAGGTGAAGTCCACTGACAGATCTCTCAGAAATAAGCTGGACTCTTCCGTGGTAAGAAATTGCTTCTCATCCTTCTGCGTGTTAATATTCCCTTTTCCTTTGTTAGCGATTCAGAAGCTGTTATCCTAGGGTTGATTTTCTACAGCCTACAACAACTTCAGGACTCTGGGATTAAAAGTTTTAGTCCAACCAACAAATATATCAAAAGAAAAAAGAACAGAATATTACTTTTCTGCTTTACTTGTGGCTGCTTCTCCTTATATGCTGCTTCATGTGATAGTTGCAGACACTGAAGTATTTACTTCAAAATAGGCATATTCAGTTATGAGAGAAATTCATGCACCTTAAGATGATGCATTGCATTTAATGAAATTGTCAGAATCCTGCAACATTCCTTTATTTGAATTTTAATCTTGGTGAGAAGGCTGTAATTTTGAATGTTCGTGGTAATTTTTTTCTTTTTTCTTTTTTTTCTTTTTTTTTTTTTTATTTATGACTACAGCAGAATGTCTTGAACATAACAGTCACTCCTCTAGGAGATGATCCATTATACGATCTGTATTAATTTTGTATCAGGGAAGTGTTTTTCTTCCTACACAGACAGAATGGAAAATGGTCCCTGGTTCTCTTGACCAGCTGTCTGCCATCTCAGACTCTGACCCTTCATGCCTAACTTCTGTTCTTAGTAAGGTCATTCAGTGTCATCTCTCACCAACACTTCATTTCTTTTGTAGCTATTTCTATGTGTTGCTAGAATTAGTGAGTTATATTCAAAATCAATGTTGGTCATAAAATTGTGAGTTAAATTGTTACATTGTGGAGATGCCTGTCAACAACCAAATGTTGATAGGCATCTCTACTTTCTTCTGGTGTTTTAAGAATCATATAGGATGTGAGGGAATGACTTGAAGCCGCATCATGGGAAGTTCAGATTGGATACTAGGGAAAAGTTCTTTACTGAAAGGCGGCTTCCCAGAGAAACAGTCATAGTCCCAAGCTTGTCCATGTTCAAGAAGCATTTGGACAATGCTCTTAGGTGTGTGGACAATGATCTTCAGTATTTGGTTTAACTCTTAGGTTGTCTCAAGAGACAACAGTTGGACTGGATGATTCTCATGGGTCCCTTCCAACTCAGGAGATTCTTTGATTCTGTGACAAAGAAAACGAGAGCGGTCCTTGGCAATTGCACCACTGTACTTTTCTCCATTTTGTGTTTTGTTTTTAATGTGATCCTTTTGCTGCCTGTGTGCAAACCTATCTGGCTTTAGCTTTTGTGCACAGTGACAAGCAAGAAAACTTCTTGAGTTGTGGTCATTTACCAGCCTATTTAAACAGATAGCACTAAGTTTATATGTGTACATTTAAACATTAAGACAATTTGGAGAGCTTCAGTTGATCCTATGTTTTATGTTTTTGAGGTCTTACTGTTTGAATATTCATATTTAAAACTGGAATCAAAATAGCTATGGCCTCCCTTCCTGATACATTCAAACAGGTTTTCCATGAGGGAAAGATATTTATATACCTTCCATACATGTAAAACTCATTACAAAATTGGACCATGTCTATTCAGTGAAATTATGAAATTGGATTAGATAGCTCTCTTGGATTATATACAAAGATCTATAGACAATATAATTTACAGACGTCTTGCTAAAGGACTGCCTTTAATCTATTAAAAAAATAGGAGATTATGTTTTTTTAGCAGGTGTTTTGCTTTCTTTAGGAGAGTCCAGGGAAGCATTATTATTTCTTCCCTTCAGGGATGGAACATAACAAAGGAGTTTCCAGTTTGCAAATGGAGACAGATATTCTGGTTCTTCCTCTTGGCAAAGGGAAAACAAAGCCCCAGGGTTTTCCCCATGGAAAACAAGTGAAAATAAACACACAAAAATTTGCTTCCTATCAGGGCAACAAACCCAAACCCAAATCTGGCATACTAGCCAGAACACAGCCAGTTTTGTACCTTAGCAAAAAAATGCAGTATTTTCCAGATGGGAACATTCAGGCCAACTAATTTTTTTTTTTTCTTAGGGTTGCCAGCAATTATTTTCAGAATAAAACTTGTACCTCTTAAACATTCTTTATAAAGACAAAATTGATCTGAGAAACTTAGAAAATTGAAACTTGTGGGTTTTTTTCTTGTTTTTTGGGTTTTGTTTTTTTTTTTTGGAGAGACGCATTTTTTTGTGTTCTGATTTTTTAATTAATTTGATGATGTTTTTTACAAAAGTACTCTTTTCAAAAAGTTCTAAACATTAGCTAAACAAAGAACAAGAAATAATTGTTATTGCCTCGACTGAAATATTGTCCCCTTGCTCTCTGTATTTCATCAGTTTGTGATGTCCCCTGTGACCCAGCACTCCAGGTGTCACTGCCCCTCTCAGCCACGTGGATTCTCAAATACCTCAGGCAAGGAAAGAAAGACAAACTGAAATAAATAAACAAAGACATCTAGATATTTTTTTGAGGAAGGGAGAAGGAGAAAAAAGAATGAAAGAAAAATGAAAAAGAAAAAAAAAAAGAAAAAAGATAGAAAGAAGGAAAGAAAGAAGGAATGAAAAAGAAATCCTTTCTAAAGCCCATTTAGTAAGCCAGAGTTGAGAATACTTAGTAGGTCATGTGAAACAAGACAGAGTGTATCCTTCTTCCCAGCAGGAAGTACAAATTAAGGCTGATTCATTCAAAACAGGGGACAGATACCCCACCCACCCTGAAAAAAGCCCAAACAACCAAAGCAACAACAAAAAAACCAACCCCAAACCAAACCAACAAAAGCCAGAAAAGATCCAGGGTTATTATTTCATTTTTAAGGCAATGCAAATAGCAGTGAGTATTGTTTCTGCTTTTATTATTTGGTAGATAGATTTTATATACCAAAAACAATCTGAAGGAAGGAAACCTCTGACTGTGGTTTTCCATAGTAATTGTTGAGGCATAAGTAAGAATCTTTGTTCTGTGGCCTTGTGTAGAGCACGAGACCTTTCCACTATTCCCTACAAATTTTGAAACACCGTTTGCTTTGTGTTGCAAGTTATAGAAGGTCAAACAACTTCTTCCTGGTTCGTGGCTTCTCATCTTAAAAGGCATCTTTGGAGTGAGACAGCAGGTCCTAAAAATGTCATCTTGTGCCTGCAACAACTGTTGGACCCAAAGCTGAGGGAAAAACAGCATTGTTTTTAGAATACGATCAATCATATCCAGAGCAAATATTTTTGTCAGCTGACTTGATAACCAAGAACAGAGGTGTGCCCTTCTTAGTGAAACATGGATATTGAAAAAATTATTGCAAGAGTCATTTAAAAGATTTTAATACTTGCTTGAATACCAAAGCATCTGATTGAGCACAGGCTGTGTTGTGGCTTGACCACCGTTTGAGCATGGACTAGCATGTTTATGTTATTAACAATTTAGGACTTCAGCTCTTGAGGTCAAATTTCCTTCACAAATCTGCAGACCAGAGGTTTTGCATGAGAGCAGTAGAAAAATTAAAAACAATATCACACTGTATAGTATGTAGCATAATAAATGTGAAATAATTTTTATTGGATGTTTAAGAAAAGGAAGGAAGGGGCAGAATACGAAGGATCAAGGTGGTTCAATGAGGAACGTGAACAAGAGAATGAGGAAAAGTGTATTAAATGAGCTTGTCAAGTGTTGTGCTATACACTACATATCACAGTCTTGACATTTTTTAGAGGCTATTTTGTTGAGTGGTCCACAGCAGAATAGAGTCCATCCCAGACTGGAGAGAGTGAGCAACTTTTTTTTGTGATTCTATCAAAAAAGCAGACCCTATTTATTTATGTATCTGCAAAGGAAAAACCCTGATTCTGAATAGCTGAGTCCCATTCTCTGGGAATTTTGCCTATAAATGATGAAGATTAAATATGTGCAGTAGAATAGAGACATCAAAACAAGGGTAAAACCTGAAGTTATTAGCTATTACTTTTCTAAATGTAGTCTAATGCACCATCTAGTTCCCTGGTTTCAGTTGGTTCCTTATTTTGTGTAGGCAGTGCTTAAGAGTGGTTTAGCTTGGTTGTGTCTTAAATAAATGCTCTCCTTCATTTAACACAGTACTCTGTACAGTTTACCAGGAAGCAAAGTAGCAATGTCTGTTCCAATATAAGCACAATTTATTTGAAAATAAAACAGTTTATATTTAAACTTTTATGAAAAGTGAAGCAAAAACCATAGCTTGTGTCCCTTCAGTTTCAGAAACAATTATGTGCTGCATCCAAAATAAAATTGTAGGGCTACATCTCAGAGGATAATTCCTCCAAATTACTTATAACCTTGCTGATGTTCATACAT